GCCTGATCTCAGCTCACTGCAATCTCTGCCTCCGGATTCAAGTGATTCTCCTGCCTCAGCCTCCAGAGTAGCTGGGATTACAGGCATGTGCTACCACACTCAGCTAATTTTTGTATTTTTGGAACCCAGCCTGGGCAACATAATAGGACCCTGTCTCTCAAAAAAATAATTTTTTTTTTTTTGAGATGGAGTCTTACTCTGCCACCCAGGTTGGAGTGCAGTGGCATGATCTTGGCTCACTGCAACCCCTGCCTCCATGTTTCAATGGTTCTTCTGCCTCAGCCTCCCAAGTAGCTAAGACTGCAAATAAGCACCACCATACCTGGCTAATTTTTTCTGTATTTTTAGTAGAATGGAGTTTCACCATATTGCCCACACTGTCCACTAAAAAATTTTTAAAATTATTTGGGCATGGTGGTGAGCCACCATACCCAGCCTATGCCTTTGGTTTTTTTGCGGAGTTTCACTCTTGTCACCCAGGCTGGATGAGGTGGCACAATCTCGAATCACTGCAAACTCTGCCTCCCAGGTTCAAGCTATTCTTCTGCTTCAGCCTCCCAAGTAGCTGGGACTACAGGCATGCGCCACCATGCCCAGCTAATTCTTGTATTTTTAGTAGAGATCATTTAAGCCAGACTGGTATCCTCAGCCTTCCAAAGTGCTGGGATTACAGGCGCTAGCCACTGCACCAACCATTTAACATTTTTTTTTTAGCTGCTCCTTGCAGAGCAGGGCTAATTCCTAGGCATTGTGCTCCAAATCAGCAATGCCTTGGAGTTTTGCTCGTTACCCAGGCTGGAGTGCAATGGGGCAATCTCGGCTCACCGCAACCTCCGCCTCCTGGGTTCAGGCAATTCTCCTGCCTCAGCCTCCTGAGTAGCTGGGATTACAGGCATGCGCCACCATGCCCAGCTAATTTTTTTTGTATTTTTAGTAGAGACGGGGTTTCACCATGTTGACCAGGATGGTCTCAATCTCTTGACCTCGTGATCCACCTGCCTCGGCCTCCCAAAGTGCTGGGATTACAGGCTTGAGCCACTGCGCCCGGCCCAGCAATGCCTTTTTAAATGGCTACATGCAACCCGTGGTAGTGATGTATCATCATTTATTTATTTGCTGTTCTATTTGATGACAGTTAAGTTGCTGCCACATCACAAACTATGCTATGAAGAACATCATCCTTCAACACATGCCTTTGAATACTTGGGCAAGCATTTGCATAGGAAAAGTTCCCAGGACTGAAACGACTGCAACAAAGGACACACATAGGTCTTACATTTTGATACATCTTCCCAAATTGCATTCCCAAAGATTCTGCCCATTTATACTCCCATGTGCATGACAGTTCCTCTCTCTCTAAACCCTGGCCAATACTGGGCATTTTCCTCTACTCAGGTCAGTTTTTGAAATGGTCTTTTATATTACTCTGCATTTTTAAAAATTTTGTTTTTTGCTGGGTGTGGTGGTTTACACCTGTAATCCCAGCACTTTGCGAGGCTGAGGCGGGCAGATCACTTGAGGTCAGGAGTTTGAGACCAGCCTTGTCAACATGGTGAAACTCTGTCTCTACTAAAAATACAAAAATTAGCTGGGCATGGTGGTGTGTGACTGTAATCCCAACTACTTGGAGGCTGAGACACAAGAATCCCTTGAATCCAGGAGGTGGAGGGTGCAGTAAGCTGAGGTGCACCACTGCATTCCAGCCTAGTTAACTGAGTGATACTCCGTCAAAAAAAAAAGAAAGAATTTTGTTTTTGAGACAGCATGTGTTGCCCAGACTGGAGTGCAGTGGCACAATCAGTGATCACTGCAGTTTCAACCTCCTGGGCTCAAGTGATTCTCCCTCCTCCTCAGGCTCCTGAGTAGCTGGGACTACAGGCATGCGCCACCACACCCAGCTAATTTTGGTATTTATCACAGAGATGGTGGGCAGGGGGGTGGTCTCACTATGCTGCCCAGGCTGGTCTCAAACTCCTGGGCTCAAGTGATCTGCCCACCTCGGCCTCCCAAAGTGCTGAGAGTATAGGCATGAGCCACATTGCCCAGTTAAAAAAACAAAACAAAACAAAAAAAACTTTTTAATGGATATTAGCATTAGGATTATGGTATTATTTTATAAAATGGATTTGAATTTCATAGTTTTCCATCTTTATGTTCTGAAAACTTCTATATGGGAATTATATGTTCCTTAAGTTTTTATAAGAACTTATTCATAAAACTTCCTAAGCATGGAGACCTTATGAAAAGTAGTTCTTTCATAGCATTCTCAGTTTCTTCTTTGTCTACTGACCAGTTAACCCATTTATGCTGGGGGTTGCAATTTTTTGTGTGTGAAAAATCAGACCTTGGCAATGACCTTGAGCAGTAGGATATAAATAACTCCCACAAGCTTAGCATTCCAATAATGGAATATTAGGCATAAATGACTTAAAGTATACTACTTTTTTGTTTTTTGAGACAGAATCTCGCTCTGTCGTCCAGGCTGGCATGCAGTGGCACAATCTCAGCTCACTACAACCTCTGCCTCCCAGGTTCAAGTGATTCTCCTACCTCAGCTCTCCAAGTAGCTGGGATTACAGGCCCCCGCCACCACACCAGGATAATTTTTGTATTTTTAGTAGAGACAGGGTTTCACCATGTCGACCAGGCTGGTCTCAAACTCCTGACATCAGGTAATCACCCACCTCGGCCTCTCAAAGTGCTGGCATTACAGGCATAAGCCACTGTGCCCGGCCCCAAGGTGTACTACCTCTTAAATTAATTTCTAAAAATAATCACTTAGGCTGGGCACAGAGGTCCATAATTGTAGTCTCAGCTAAACAGGAGGTTAGGGTGAGAGGATTGCTTGAGCCCAGGAGATGAAGGCTATAGTGAGCAATGATTGCACACTCTATCCTGGGCACAGAAAAGATCCTGTCTCAGAAAAAACCCCAAAGACACCCATTTAACAGAAATTTTAACATTTAACAGCCTATAACTGAGCATATACTCATGATTGCAACTGGCTTTTGTTGTCATTAGATTTGCTAGTCTTGTCTATCTTCTTGTTCATTGCCCCTTTAAATAACCAGTTTCTGCATTTCTTTTGCCTCTGGCTATCTATTCCCTAATAAATTTATTCTGACATAACTTTTCATTAATATATTCCTCTGAGTTTCCTTACAGTTGGCTCCTGTGTGGGGTATTCTTTTTGAAACTGAATATTTTGTTTTAAAAATTTCTTCCCATTTTAAATAATAAAAGCATTTCATACTCTGAATTTAGCTTAGAGTGTTGCTTTAGTCATACTCCAGAGTTCTTTTTTTAAAATATGTACTACTCTAGTTTTTATTTTCTAAACAGTATGTTATTACGTATGTTTCCTTTAATTATTTAATTTTAAAATGTTTAAATTCCCAATCAAGACATAGTATTTACACTTTTATTAATTTCTCTTAAGAGTGGATGAAGATTTTAGTCCATAGTGACTTGAAGACATTATAGAGCCTGATTTTTTTTTCCTGTTGCTGAGTACTATGTAAATTTTTTAAGGGTGCATGAAACACCTACAAAGAAGATATAACCTGTTTGTAGGACCTGAAGGTCAATAAATGGGACCTTAAAAACATATTTTCAATATACACTAGGTTTTTTACAAATGTGTTCTCACTTACTTAGACAATCCTGGCCTGGCATGGTGGCTCACGCCTGTAATCCCAGCACTTTAGGAGGCTGAGGCAGGCAGATCACCAGAAGTCAGGAGTTGAAGACCAGCCTGATCAACATGGTAAAACCTCATTTCTACATTAAAAAAAAAAAAAATTAGCCAGGTATGGTAGTGTGTGCCTGTGATCCTAGCTACTCTGGAGGCTGAAGCAGGAGAATCACTTGAACCCAGGAGGAAGAGGTTACAGTGAGCCGAGACTCCACCACTCTACTCCATCCAGCCTGGGCGACAGAGCAGGCCTCTGTCTCAAAAAAAAAAAAAAAAAAAAAAAAAAAGACCATCCTGTAAAAAGACACATACTGTATGATTCAGCTAATATGAGGTACTCAGAGTAGTCAAACTCAGAGACACAAAGTAGAGAGGTAGAAGGGTGGCTGCCAGGGACTGCAGGACACAGGAATGGGTAGTTGATGTTTAATGTGTAAAATGTTTCCACTGAGGAAGATACAAAGGTTCTTGAGTTGGATGGTGTGATGGTTGCACAGCACTGTGAATGTGCTTGGTGCCACAGAATGGTGCATGTAGAAATGGTTAAAATGACATATTTTATGTGACCTGTATTTGCAACAGACTGTTTTTGATCCTGCAATTTAGTTATCCCTATTTGTGAGTGAGGAGATGAGGTTTTGAGGTCACCCTGCTGATAACTGGTGTAGAATTGGGTTTTAAACTGAGTTGCCTGCTAAACTGAATTTGAGGAGGAAGAAATAAAAAGAAACAAAGGAAGAAAAAGGAGGGAAGGGAGGAAGGGAGGGAGGGAGGGAGGGAACAAAGGAGGGAAGGAAGAGGAAAGGTAGGGGAAAGGAAGGAAAGGAAAAATAATATAAAATGAGGCCGAGCATGGTGGCCATGCCTGTAATCCCAGCACTTTGGGAGGCTGAGGCAGGCGGATCACCTGAGGTTGGGAGTTCGAGACCAGCCTGACCAACATGGAGAAACCCCATCCTACTAAAAATACAAAATTAGCCAGGTGTGCTGGTACATGCCTATAATCCCAGCTACTTGGGAGGCTGAGGCAGGAGAATCGCTTGAACCCAGGAGGTTGTGGTGAGCCGAGATCACGCCATTGCACTCTAGCCTGGGCAATAAAAGCAAAATGCCGTCTCAATAATAATAATAATATAAAATGAACTGAGTCATCTGTATTGAAAGCTGTTAGCATTTTACCCTGTTCCCTGTTTGGGCTTCAGAGAGGAGTTCCCTCACCCTTAATGTTCTCCAATCTAGAAAGCAGCACACCATGCATTCATCCAGATGCCCCACGCCCCCAGGTTCATTCCTCTTCTCTTCCCAGCTGTCAAGACCATCACCTGGAGGCCCAACAGCACAACCACCACAGCCAACCTCGGAGTCACAGAGGTCAAAGGGCACTCAGAGTCTTGGCACCTAAGTCTGGAGACTACTGTGTGGGTGACAGTGGCTGTCGCTGCACTTGGAATCATGATTTTGGGACTGATTTGCCTCCTCCGGTGGAGGGGAAGAAAAGGTAAGTGCCCAGGACCCACCTCCTCTCCATGCCTCCCAGCTGGGGGTTTCTCAGGGCCCACCTGCAGCTAAGGGGCTTCTGAAATATACAGACCCTGCCAGCTCCCCTGAAGCCCACTGAGGCCGACTCTGTGCCCTGTGCTGGGGCATCTGCAATGAGGGCTTCTGCAGTAGGGCTGTACAGGGTCACATGTGAGAATCCCCAGCCCTCTCCACACAGCCAATTCCCCCAACCTGTTCTTCTCTCTCAGTCATTACTCATCCACCCTCCCCTGAAGGTTCTGGGGGAGGTGAGGGTCTCCCCTGGGAAAAGGACAGAGAGAGCAAAAGAGACAGGAAGTAGGCTGAGCTCAGCGTACTGGCCAACTGGCCACTTGCCACAGCCTGGCTTGAAAGTGGAGAAGGAAAGTAGATAAAGCATAAACCACACACTTTGCTCTCAGAGAACTGGGGGTGTGGGGCTGTCAGTTGCCTCAAGGACTAATTGCTTCATTGAGAAAGAACTATTTTAGTTCAGTTGAGCCCAGGAGTGTGAGACCAACTCCGCCAACATGGTGAAACCTCATCTCTGCTAAAAAAACATTAGCCAGGTGTGATGGTGCGTACCTGTAATTCCAATTACTGGAGAGGCTAAGGTGGGAGCATTGCTCAGGAGGTGGAGGTTGCAATGAGCCACGATCATGCCACTGCACTCCAGCCTAGGCAAGAGTGCACCCCATCTCAAAAAAAAAAAAAAAGAAAGTCTTCAGTGAAAGGAGATTTGCCCTATCAGCTATGAAAGCACAGAGGGTAGGAGCATGGGGTCAGGGCTGCCTGCAGTCAGATCCTGGCCTCACAACCTCACCAGAGAAGCAGCCTTGCTAGTACAAAGGTTGTGGGCCTCAACTTCCTCATGGGAAAAGGGAGTGAAGATAGTACCTATGTGGGGTTGTCCTGACAATTAAATATACTATGTTTAGAATAAATCCTAGCAGAGGGTGTGCACATAGGGGCATCAACACTTAGAATGATTCAACAGTGGGCATTAAAACTAGGCAACACTGGCTCTCATGGGAGCACCATTGTATGAATACATTTAAAACAAAAGACAAAACGGTGCAATATTGGCATACACCTTAAAGCAATGGAAGTAAAGAGGAAAACCTAGGTATAAGAGAATGAAAACAGACCCAAATATATGTGGGAATTTAGTTGGTTAAAAGGTTTCTAATCAATGGGGAAAGATAAGCAATTCAATGAATGGTGCTGGAACTATTCAGTAGCTATCTGAGAAAAAATAACATTATCTCCTTAACTCATAATTTGTACCAAAATAAATTCCACAGGGATCAAAGATTTAAATAAGGAAAAAAAATAACCCTAGTATCAGAAGAAAATGTGAGACCACAAAGTAGAGACAGTCTTCCTCAGTATGACCAAACTCAAAAGCCATGGATTAAAACATTAAAATCTGGCCAGGTGAGGTGGCTCGCACCTGTAATCCTACCACTTTGGGAGGCAGAGGTGGGTGGATCACTTGAGGTCAGGAGTTCGAGACCAACCTGGTCAACATGATGAAATCCCATCTCTACTAAAAATACAAAAATTAGCTGGGCATGGTGGTGTGCCCCTGTAATCCCAGCTATTCGGGAGGCTAAGGCAGGAGAATCACTTGAACCCAGGAAGTGGAGGTTGCAGTGAGCTGAGATCATGCCACTGCACTCCAGCCCGGGCAACAGAGCAAGACTCTGTCTCAAAAAAAAAAAAAAAAAATTAAAATCAACCACTTAATTTTTTTTCTAATTCTACATAACAAAAACCACAGTGCTTTTATCCTGAGAATGAGTAAGAGGGTCAGGGAACTGAAGAGAAAGTTTGACATAGTCACTGAGGAAATGGGAAGTGGAGTCTGAGAATTCAGCTCAGATGAGAAACTGTAAATCCATAACAGCAGTGTTATGCATGGCTGCATTTTTCCCTAGAAGTTGTCTACCATTCAGATTTCGAGACCTTAGAGATTTGTGTTGGTCAGGAATTGTCAATTGCTACCACCAGGGACCAGAAATAACAGTAGCTTAAACAAGACAGAGCTGGGTTATTTTTTCCTCCTGTAAACAGATCTGGAAGCTGGCAGCAGAGGCCACTGTTCTTAGACACTCAGGTTCCTACACCTTTCTGATTCACCAGCCCTGATGCTGGCTTCTGTCCTGAAGGTTGCCTCATGGCCCGAGATGGCTGCAAAGAGTCCAGTCACTATTCCTGGGTTCCTGGCAAGAAACAGGAGGAAGAAAGAAAGGAGAAAAAATACTAGGCCCCAACTGTCTGTTCTCTTTAAAGAGCTTTCCTGAAAGACCTAACAACAACTTCTGTTTAAATCTTATTGGCTAGAATTTGGTCACGTATCCCACAGCTATCTGGAGGGGGGACCCTCCTACTCCAAATACAATTAATTTTCTATAACTAAGAAGAATTGAATAGATATTGGGTAATCAAATAGCATTTCTGCCATAAGACACCCCCAGGATTAGAGATTTGCCAGCTAAGTGTGACAGAATGACAGGAGATCACAGGTCAAGGAGTTAGTGAGAGAGCAGGAATGGAGAGCAGAGGGGTCAACAGGGAGTCTGGATAATCTGTAGAAAAGTAGGTTATCAAGGGATAAGAGTTCAATGAAATCTAAGAACAGGTGTAGTAGGATAATGACAAAAGAGAGCTGGAACACTTCCAAGCTTATTCTGTGAGGGCAGCATTACCATGATACCAAAGCCAAAGCCACTACAAGAAAAAAAAAACTACACACCAATAACCCTGATGAATATTGATGTAAAAATCTTCAACAAAATACTAGCAAACTAAATTCAACAACAGAGAAAAAGAATTATATACCATGGGCCAGCCACAAGAATCTCTTGAACCTGGGAAACAGGTTCCAGTGAGCCAAGATCATGCTACTGCACTCCAGCCTGAGCAACAGAGTGAGACTCTGTCTCAAAGGAGAAAAAAAGAAAAAAAAAGATAGATGAATATACCAATGGAATAGAGTACAGAGTCTAGAAATAAACCCTTGCACATGTGGTCAAAAGACTTGACAAGGGTGCCAAGGGCACTTAATGGGCAAAGGATAACCTCTTCAGTAAATGACGTTGGGTAAACTGAATATCCATACCAAAGAATGAAGTTGGATCCTTATAACATATACAAAATTTGACTCCAAATGGATTAAAGACCTAAATGTAAGTTCCCAAACCATAGGGAATAAGTCTTGTGACACTGGTGATACCAAAAGCACAGGCCACGAAAGAAAAAATAGACAAATAGGACTACGTTAAACTTAAACATGCTTTTTCATCAAAGGATACAATCAACAGAATCAAAAGGCAACCTACAAAATAGGGGAAAATATTTGCAAATTATATATCTGATAAGGAACGAATATTTTGAATATATAAGAACTACAGTTCAACAACAAAAAAATCAACCCAATGTAAAAGTGGGCAGTGGATTTTAACAGACACTTCTCCAGACAAGATATTTGCTATGGTCTGAATGCGTCTCCTCAAATCATGTATTAGAAAGTTAGTCCCCAGTGTGACAACTGGGAGTTAGAGTGTTTTGGGAGGTGCTTAGGTCATGACGGCTCTGCCAGACGAATGGATGAATGCCATTATAAAAAGGGATTTCAGGAGTGGGTTCACTGTCTTCTGATCTTCTGCCATGTGAGGACACAGTAACCCTCCCCTCTGGAAGACACAGCAAAAAGGCCCTCACCAGACACCAGCAAGATGCTGGCACCTTGATCTTGGACTTCCCAGGCTCCAGAACTGTGAGAAATAATTTTGGTTTGCTTTGTTTTAAATTACGCAGGCTCTGGTATTCTTATATATATTAGCAGCACAAAATAGACTAAGACAATACACAAATCACCAAGAAGCAGATGAAAATGGCCAACTAATGATCAGATAAATGCAAACCAGAACCACAGAGAGCTATTCCTAGAAGGATAGCTACTATTAAAAATAAATAAATGTGGCCCGGCACAGTGGCTCACACCTGTAATCCCAGCACTTTGGGAGGCCGAGGCAGGCAGATTATGCCACCAGGAGTTTGAGACCAGCCTGGCCAACATAGGGAAACCCCGTCTCTACTAAAAATGCAAAAATTACCGGCTGGGCGCGGTAGCTCACGCCTGTAATCCCAGCACTTTGGGAGGCTGAGGCGGGCGGATCACGAGGTTGAGAGATCGAGACCATCCTGGTCAACATGGTGAAACCCCGTCTCTACTAAAAATACAAAAAATTAGCTGGGCACGGTGCTGTGTGCCTGTAATCCCAGCTACTAAGGAGGCTGAGGCAGGAGAATTGCCTGAACCCAGGAGGTGGAGGTTGCGGTGAGCCGAGATCGCGTCATTGCACTCCAGCCTGGGTAATAAGAGCAAAACTCTGTCTCAAAAAAAAAAAAAAAATGCAAAAATTAGCCAGATGTGGTGGTGGGCTCCTGTAGTCCCAGCTACTCAGGAGGCTGAGGCAGGAGAATAGCTTGAACCCAAGAGGCAGAGGTTACAGTGAGCCAAGATTGTGCCACTGCACTCCAGCCTGGGCGACAGAGTGAGACTCTGTCTCAAAATGAAAATAAAAATGACAAGTGTTGGGAAGAATGTGAAGAAATTGGGGCCCCTGTGTACTGTTGATGGGGTTATAAAATAGTGCAAATGATGACAAAAAGCAATGCCTTTTCCTCAAAAATTACAAAATAAAGGCCAGGAGTAATAACTTACACCTGTATTTCCAGCACTTTTCAAGGCTGAGGTGGGCAGATTACCTGACGCCAGCAGTTCAAGACCAACCTGGTCAACATGGTGAAATACCATCTATACTAAAAATACAAAATTAGCTGAGCATGGTAGCACACGTCTGTAGTCCTAGCTACTCAGGAGGCTGAAGGAGAATCGCTTGAACCTGGGAGGCAGAGGATACAGCGAGCCAAGATTGTGCCACTCCACTCCAGCCTGGGTGACACAGCAAGACTCTATCTCTAAATAAATAAATAAATCAAGCAAGCAAGCTAGCTAGCTAGCTACCATATGATTCAGCAATCCCAGTTTTGGATACATACCCAAAAGAACTGAAAAGGAAACTCTTGAAGAGATATTTATACACCCATGTTTATAGCAACACTATTCTCAATGGCCAAATGGTGGAAGCAACCCAGATGTCCACTGACAAATGAATAGATGAACATAATGTGGCATATATATATATATATATATATATATATATATGAATATTATTCAGTCTTTAAAAGAAATTCTGGGCCGGGCACAGTGACTCACACCTGTAATCCCAATCCCAGCACTTTGGGAGGCTGAGGCTGGTGGATCACCTGGGGTCAAGGAGTTTGAAACCTGCATGACCAACATGGTGAAACTCTGTCTGTACTAAAAATACAAAATTAGCCAGGCCTGGTCCGCAGGTGCCTGTAATCTCAGCTATTTGGAAAGCTGAGGCAGAAGAATCACTTGAACCTGAGAGGCAGAGGTTACAGTGAGCCAAGATCATGCCACTGCAGTCTAGCCTGGGCAACAAGAGCAAAACTCGAGAAGAAAACAGAGGAGAGAGAAGAGAAGGAAGGGAGGGAGGGAGGAAAGGGAAGGAAGGGGAGGAAAGAGGGGAAGGAAGGGGAGGAAAGGAAGGAAGGGAAAGAAAAAGAAACCAAGAAATTCTGACAAATACTAACAGTATAAATGGACCTGGAGTACATTATGCTAGGTAAAATAAGGCAGTCACAAAAAGACAAATACTGTATGATTCCACTTTTCTGTGGTACCTAGAGATAGGAAATTAATAGGAACAGAAAGTAGAATGGTGGCTCTCAAAAGCCGGAAGGAGGAAGTGGGGATTCTTTTCTTGTTTGTTTTTTGAGACAGAGATTCACTCTTGTTGCCCAGGCTGTATGGCACAATCTCGGCTCAATGCAACCTCTGTCTCCCAAGTTCAAGCAATTCCCCTGCCTCGGCCTCCCGAGTAGCTGGGATTACAGGCATGCACCACCACACCCGGCTAATTTTGTATTTTTAGTAGAGACAGGGTTTCTTCATGTTGGTCAGGCTGGTCTTGAGCTCCCAACCTCAGGCGATCCGTCTGCCTCAGCCTCCCAAAGTGCTGGGATTGCAGGCATGAGCCACGTGCCTGGTGGAATTCTTTAAAATAGTTTCAGTTTTGCAAGATGAAAAGGTTCTGGAGATGTTTCGCAACAGCGTGAATATGCTTAACACTACTGAACAGTACACGTGGTTAAAAGTGAATTCTAGGGTTTTTTTTACCATAAGTAAAATAAAATATATAACCTGTTTAAGTTTCAAAGAGAGGGAAAAACAGAGGGCGAGAAGAGTGCTAGAAGGAAAGATGCAGTATGAAAATGATATTAGCAATTAATGTTTTAGAGTTCCCAGTCTCAACATTAAAAAAAAAAATCCTGTAGCAGTTAAAGGGGAAGCCTCTGGAGTTGAGGGAAATAGTGAGGCCTCGGCTCAGAAGGTGTCTCTGTGTATTCGGAGCCCTCTCAAGAGGAGGCTAGATGGTGGAGAGGATGTCTGTGGACGAGGGGCCCAGTGCTTGGGAAACGCTGTAAGGATGCCAGGAGAAATGGCATCCTGGGTTCAAGCAATTCTCCTGCCTCAGCCTCCCAAGTAGCTGGGACAAAAGGTGCCCGCCACCACATCTGGCTAATTTTTGTAATTTTAGTAGAGACAGGTTTTTGCCACGTTGGCCAGGCTGATCTTGAATTCCTGACCTCAGGTGATCTGCCCCCCTCAGCCTCCCAAAGTGCTGGGATTATCACAGGCGCGAACCACCGCACCCAGCCTAGGTGTTACACTGGACGGAGTGAAAGCTGAAACATGAAAATGATACTAGCAGTTAATATTTCAGAGTTTCCAGTCCCAACATTAAAAAACAAAAAGTCCTATAGAAGTGCAAGCTGGGGCCCCTGGAGTTGAGGGGTGCCATGAGGTCTGGGCTCGGAGTGTCTCTGTGGACCCAGAGCCCTCCCAGGAAGAGGCTGGATGGTGGAGAGGATGTCTGTGGACCAGGGGCCCAGTGCTTGGCAAACACTGCAAGGATGCCAGGGGGAAAGAAGGGGCAGGGCACAGTGGGAGAGGCAGCAAAGGATTCAGGGTGGGATCAGCCAGAGGGGAGTGGAGGCCGAGCAGTGGCAACAGAACTCAAATAGCCACAAACATGAGTCCCAAACACCAGGCTCCCAAGGCTGGAGAGCAGACACAGCCACCACCCAGAAGGAAAGCACAAGCGTGGTATCCCTGAGGACCTGGAGGGAGTGAAGGGTGCCTGTGTTGCAGGGCAGGGCAGGGCAGGGCATGTGGTATCCCTGAGGACCTGGAGGGAGTGAAGGGTGCCTGGGGTGGGGTGGGGCGGGACAGGGCAGGGCAGGGCAGGGCAGGGCAAGGCAGGGCAGGGTGGTTGAGGGCTCAGTGGTGGAGGGAGCCAGGTTGAGGCTAAGCAGGGAGCTCAAGAGAGCCAAGCAGAGGGTTGGGGTGAGAGGGTATCAGGAGGTGATAAGGACAACAGGGAGGACAGATGGGGGACTCAGGGTGCCAGCTGAGTCCCAGGCCCTTCCTGATGGGTTTGGGTGGAATTGCTCTGGTCCCTCTAAGGGAGGGCCTCAGCCTAGGGTGCAGCAGAGAAGGTGGGATGAAGACTGCCATCACCTGGATGCTACCCTGACTGTTGGTCCCTCTACATACAGGTCAGCAGCGGACTAAAACCACAACCTCAGCCAGGTGAGTGCTGGGCCTCCCCAAGGGGGTGGGGGCTGCAGGTGTAGGCTGGTTTGGGAAACAGAGTGTGCTGCTAAGAACTCCACAACCCCAGCCTGCCACGGCCATTGTCGCATCCCCAACTTACCCAACCTCATCCTCCTTTGTCCTCTAAGGACCAGGCTCTTGACTTTGGGCTTTCTGTTCCCTAAAAACTAAACCAGTGGACTCTGGGTTCCAGCGCAAACACTGAGTCTCTTTTCTGGAGTGCCCATCTGTGCCCTCTGCCTGCCTTTCCTGGTGTTACTAAACTTTTCTGCTCTTCACCTGCTTCCTCTCAGCGTGGATCTTCCAGCTTTTCCATATTGCTTGCTCTCCAATCTGTCCTGCCAAATGTGCCAGGTGGGCCCAGGCTTCCTCTGCCTCCAGCTCCTCTTACCTGTGTTTGCTCAGGAGGGAGGGACTCACCAGCCTCTCTACCTTGCTCCCCTTTCCAGGCTAGGGCCTCACTTTTCCTTTTTCTGGGCTCTTCCTCTCCACCCTCCCACCATTTTCCTTTCCTTTCCTCTGGCCCCTCCCTTCCATGCTGGAAGAAGGCCTCACTCCTGCCCTTTCTCCTTCGCTGACTTGCCAGCTGCCCTTCTCCCATCCCCCACCAAGTTCCTTCTCCCTCCAGTCACCCAGCATGAGCCCCTGATCAGAGGACCTGAAATTCACACAATTGGTTTGCTTCTCCCAGTTTCAGCCAAGGCAGTGTCAGCAGAGAGAACAAACGTTGACCTTTCCTATTTTTCTTCTCCATGTTCCTCTCCCATACCAGCAGCTTCCTTAAGACAACCCACCTCAGTGAGCACCAAGGGACCTCTGCTGGGCCACACACAAATTGCCTCTAATTCCTCTTCCAAGCAGCCTCTTCTGAAGTCTAAAACCACCATACTCATCCTAAGCAGGCTGTGCAAGTTGCAGAGAACCCCCAAAAGAGAACCAGCCCCTAACATGTGTCATAACTCTTTTTTAAACATTTTATCTTTGAGAGAGGGTATTGCTGTCACCTAGGTTGGAGTGCAGTGGTGCAATCACAGCTCACAGCCTTGAACTCCTGGGCTCAAGTGATCCTCCTACCTCAGCCTCCTGAGTAGCTGGGACCACAGGCACACTCAACTATGCCCAGCTAGTTTTTGTGTTTATTGTAGAGACTAGGTCTTGCTATGTTACCCAGGCTGATCATGTACTCCTGGGCTCAAGTGATTGCCATCTGCCTCAGTCTTCCAAAGTGCTAGGATTACAGGTGCGTGAGCCACTGCCCAGCCCACGTTATAACTGCCCAGCCTCTAACATATTTCTCGTCCTCTTGTTCCCATACAGGGAACCCTTCCAAAACATAGAGGAACTATATGAGAATATCAGGAATGAAGGTGAGTCCTCACTATCATCCTTCCCCAGTTTCTACCCCTGGCCCTTCCTGCTTCCCCAAACACCCCCTACCTGAGTCTGTGCCCCTCTCAGTACTTCCATCTTTCCATTCCTTGCCCCCACGTGACCCTAGCCCTGACCTAGCAGATAACCTCACTCCTAGAGCCCCTTGCCCATCTCTCTCCCCCGGCTGTCACACCACCTGACCTCGGCACACCTTGCTTTTTATTCCTAGGACAAAGTACAGATCCCAAGCATAATCCCAAGGTAAGCAGTCAGACCAGGGCCTGAAGGAATTAAAGAGAAGCCTGGGCTGGGCACAGTGGCTCATGCCTGTAATCCCAACACTTTGGGAGTCCAAGGTGGGTGAATCACCTGAGGTCAGGAATTATAGACCAGCCTGACCAACATGGTGAAACCCCGTCTCTACTAAATACAAAAAATTAGCCAGGCATGGTAGTGCACGCCTGTAGTCCCAGCTACTTGGGAGGCTGAGGCGGGAGGGTCACTTGAACCTGGGAAGTGGAGGTCGCAGTGAGCCCAGATTATGCACTCCAGCCTGGGCAACAAGAACAACAAAAAAAAAAGCCTGGAAGCCTGGAGGTGGGGTGGAAGGGAGAGAGGGAGTATGGTATAGGGAGGACAGTCCGACTGCAGGCTTGCCGCTAAGATGGGGACAGTTCTGTACCACTGTCTAACGCTTTCTCTTTGGGTTCTCACCCAGGACAATGGCATCATCTATGCCTCCCTTGCCCTCTCCAGCTCCACCTTACCCAGAGCACCTCCCAGCCACCATCCCCTCAAGAGCCCGCAGAACGAGATCCTGTACTCTGTCTTAAAGGCCTAACCCATGGAGAGCCCTCTCAAGACTGAATGGTGAAGCCAGGCATAGTGGCACATGCCTGTAATCCTGGCTCCTTCAAAGCCTGAGGCAGAATAGATTCAGCCAAGGCGTCAGGGCCAGCTTTGACAACATAGCAAGAGGCCATCTCTAATTAAAAATATATATTAATAATAAAATAACAAATTTTTAAAACTTGTCTTCAAAACTATTTTTGTTAAATCTGCATCCATTAAATTCCAGAGAGAAAGAAGTAAAAAAAAGACTGTATGATGACCTTCTTAGGGTATGCTGTGCTTCCAATAGGAAGGGGCACAGCTTCCAACAATAACCAAGGCCATACAGATGACTTACAGGCCAGCCAGAGAACTGACAGAAACAGAGCCATCTACTCCAACTCCCTCTTTACCTTCCCAGTCCTTGCCCGTAAAACTAAAAGTACTCCCAAAACTTGCCTGAATGTATGTAAGGAGAAAACTGACATCGCCTTCAACTCCTGTCCCTCCCACTGAAAATGAACTCTAACAGATAACTCACACCCAAGACCCTTCCTCCAATACTTTTTTCAGTCACTTCCTCAGGCCAGGGAACATGAGTCCCAAAACGCTGGTAGCCAGCCCAAACCCAAAGCCTGCCCTCGAATCTGATCAGTCTTCCCTATGATGACAACGAGTACATCACCTCATCTGACACCACTCACAACCCTATAAGGTAGAGGATGCACTTGCTGGAAGATGAAGAGCAGAATCAGGATGGTGAATATGCTTTTCCCCAGGCCACAGAGGTAGCTGGTAAGGAGCCAAGCCCGGATTTTAAACCAGATCTGCCCTTCTTGATGTCCTCACAGGACTTCAGGACTCAGGTCTCACTGCCTTCCCCAGATGCCTACACTGTACAGGCTCCCACCAGAAGCAGTAATATGCCACAGTGACACTGAGGAGGGGGAGCAGCCAACAGGGGACAGTTAGAGACCAGCCAAGCCAGCTGACCGTAACCTGCTTTATTAACACAGAAACTACGCAACACACTTGAACCTCAAAGACAACAAACACCCCCAGCACTTAGCAACTTCTCTCTCCTGTACCCCAGAGAAGGGAGAAGAGGAGGGAGTACAGGAGCACCAGCTACTTCCCAAATAGGGCCACAGGGAAGTCCTCGCCATCACTGTCGCTGTGCTGCAGCTCCCCACTCTGACCCAGCTCTCTCCCAACATCTTCCATGAGTTGCTCCAAGTCCAGGTCACTGGAGGTTTCGTCGTCAATGGAGACACTTCCAGCCTTCTGGGTCAGGGGTTGCCGGGGTCTGGGCTCTTCTTTTGCAGCTGAGGGGCAGGCACCCTCACGTGCTGGTGGGCCCAGGTCCTTTGGCACCATTCTAACTTCTTTTCCTTCTGAAAAGCTGGCTGCCAAGGCCTTGCTCTGGGGAGCTTTAAATTTTTTCTTAGGGCCTAAATGAGAAGGTGACAAAGCTGAGAGTCCTATTAGGTGAGCTTATCCTTACTTTTTGTAAGTCCAACTCCTATATCTTTATTTCCAAGAAATCTCTGGAAAAGATGACCTTTCTCAGTATAAAGAACATGGACTTTGGGGTCAGAAAGAGATTCAAGCTGTCCACGCTATGCTAGACACCAGCCTTGCGTACTTTTTAAATCCTTTGAGCCTTAGTTTTCTGATGTCTAAAATGGAAATATCCAGTGAGAGCTACTGAAAGAATTTAAAGGAACAGACATGGAAGTATCTCTTTAGCCAGCCCTTGGCAATAACGAATAAATGTTACTTCTCTTCTACCATTCTACTGCCCCTGGGCCAAATCAAATCAGGAACCATTCTGTTTCTATAGTGTGTGCTGAGTGCAGTCTGAGATGCCCTTTCATTCTAATTTTCATTTGTTCTGTAAAGTAACGAAAAGCCGTAGAATGGTTAAGAAATGATTCAGGGAGGGAAGATGCCGGCATGCACCTCATTCCCCTTAGTTTTTCCCAGGCCTTGAGCCTTACCTGGCTGGTCAGAATCTGAATTCCCTTGGCCTTCTTTCCTTTCCATTCTGGGTGCAGGAGGAGCTGTGGATTTCCTGCCCAGAGATCTCTTCATTATCTTCCTCTGCAGTGTCCTGCCTCCGCCACCTGCCGTGCCTGCATCAACCCCATGCCCCAGGCATGAGGGAAACATGTTTATTTCCCTCTAAATGACAGCTCGGCAAGGGCAGATGGACTCCGCACATTGCGTCTCTGCCCTGCCCCACATCTTACACTCAGTCTCAATCTAGTGAGTTCTCCTGGTGGCCTCTGGCTCTTTTTCGACATATTTTCCCCCAATTTTCTTTTTTTCTTTTACCCCATGGATCTTCTCTTTATAGTTCTCCTCAGAGTCTGCCTTCTCCAGGAGGTCATCCTTCTTGGCTAAGAACTTAAAACCTTCCATCTTTCACCTCAGATTTTATAATTCAGTACAGAAAAGCAAGGGGGCTCCAGCTCCCCATTGATACTATGAGTGAGTCTTGCCTGTTTTCTCAGGTCCTGGCACTGAGACAGGAAGTGAGGTCCAGCTACTTGCAGACTCTCTCTCTACCATTTCCCTGCCTTAACTGTAGGACATGCCCCATTTCCAGCTGGCCTGCTTACCTCTTGGCTTGTTTTTTTTGGTCTGTGCTTTGACTTGGTTGCAACTGGGCAAAGTTGGGTCCTGAGGATAGAAAAGAAAGTTTAAAAAAAATAATAAATTAAGGCCTCTAACTGTTTTTAACAAAGAAGGATGCTACAGAATGACAGGTGAGCTTTGGGGAATCAAAATAGGTTCTATGAGCCTAATATTGTTTATATTTATGGCAACACAGAGAAAAATGTGTGGTCACTTTCCCAGTCTGTTGGTATTCATCAATGCAAGGCTTTAGGCACAAAAAAAGGAAATAAAAACTAGGCCACGAGTATGATAAAAAAAAAAAAAACTGCTTAATTAAAAATTAAAAGAAAAAGTAAAAAATATATATTTCCTATACCTGGAAAACAGATGCTAAGATATCATGTGAATAAAAATCCTCCAAAAAATAAAAAAATAAATTAAAAATCCTCCATGTCCATGTAGGGAGAAGGGAGTAGAAAGAAACAACTGCTGTTCTCTGAATTGCTCCTAGAAGAGTCAAATAAATACAGTAGGAACTGAAATGATACTCAAGAAAGCAGTTCCTACAGATGTGGGAAATTAGAGAAGAAAGAAGAAAGAAGAGACCTAGAAACCCTCAAATATCTGACAATTGGGGCTCCCTCGAGACAGGGACAGGATAGCTCCTTAGTAAATATAAGTACATGCTAACGAGATCCTTACAGGAATCTTCTAAAAGGAAACCCCAAGATCCTTGTCTAAACAATTTTTAAAGCTAATCTTGGCCAAGTGCAATGGCTCATGCCTATAATTCCAGCACTTTGGGAGGCCAAGGTGGGAGGACTGCTTAAGCCCAGGAGTTTGAGACCAGCCTGGGCAACCTGGCAAAACTCCATCCTATAAAAATAAAGCTAATCTTACCATTTTCTTTCCCTCCTTTTCTAACTCTTCCTCCTTCTCCTTTTTCTCCAAGCAGGATCCTGGGCTGTTGAACCCAGAGAGCTGTAAGTCTAGAACAGGAAAAGAAAGGAAAGGCTAGCTAAATAATTCCTACCATAAAGCAGTGAGTTAATGAAGCAGATCCCAGAGAATCTGTCTTCTAACTGTGACTTTTGTGTCCAAGTGGTATTTTCTCCATAAAATGTGATCCCAGATTATCACACTTCCACCCTTTTCAAAGTCCATCACTATTCAACACACCACTCTTCCTTCCCCATCCCATTTCTCCCATTCCTCTCTCCACTCATCTGCCCATCTATCCTGGATACTGGGTCAATAACCTTCACAAGAGCCTCCTATTAAAGTATCCAGAATTAGCCCGATGATAGAGAATATAAAATTTAAAAAAACATGGGCTGCTGCCCTCATGAAGGAATCCCTCCCCTCCCTCTCCAGTCCTTAGCCTCCACTTATCCTACCTTTTCTTTCCCCATTACTGTTAGATCCATTGAATCGGCTCCAGAAACCAAACAAGTTAACCCGTTCCTGAAGGAACCAAGAAACAAAAGCATCATCCACTTCCCTTTCAGGGGCAGTTTTTGCTTTCTGTCTTTTGGAATTTAGTTATGATGAAATTCGGATTCATTTTTGATACCAATTTTTTTGGGGGCAGACAGTGTCTTGCTCTGTCACCCAGGCTGGAGTGCAGTGATACAATCTTTACTAACTGCAACCTCCCCAACCCAGGCTCATGATCCTCCTGTCTTAGCCTCCCAAGTAGCTGGGACTGCAGGCATGTGCCACTATGCCTGGCTAATTCTTCTATTTTTTGTAGAGACAGGGTTTTGCTGTGTTGCCTAGGCTGGTCTTGAACTCCTGGACTCAATGGATACACCCACCTCAGCCTCTCAAAGTGCTAGGGTTACAGGGGTGAGCCCCGCACCCCAGCCCTCATTTTCCATACCATTTTCACTTAAAATTACACATTAGGCTTACCTGACCTTTTATGGAGATTAATTAATTATAATCTCTATTTCTAGTTTGTTTCTAATTCAACAAATAAGGAATACTGGGAGGGGAAAATGTCACTTTTTTTTTTTTTTTTTTTGAGATGGAGTTTTGCTCTTGTTGCCCAGGCTGGAGTGCAACAGCATGATCTTGGCTCACCACCTATGTCTCCCAGGTTCAAGCAATTCTCCTGCCTCAGCTTACTGAGTAGCTGGGATTACAGACATGTGCTACCAAGCCTGGCTAATTTTTTTGTATTTTTAGTAGAGACAGGGTTTCTCCATGTTGGTCAGGCTGGTCTCATACTCCCAACCTCAGGTGATCTGCCCACCTCAGCATCCCAAAGTGCTGGAATTACAAGCGTGAGACACTGCCTGGCCTAATTTCACTGTTTTTTATTCTCCATCCCACCCTGACCAACAAAATTTGAGCATAAAAACTGACTCCACAGAAAAGAGAGGTTAGGGCACTTATATCTGAAACCTGAAATGAAATATGGAGGTCAGATGCCCCCTACCACAAACCATCCTTGTCTGGACTGAGGGAGAATCCCACTTGTCCAAGAGTAGGGAAAGGAATGGGTGTGGTCTGAATACTCTCCCACCTGAATGCTGATCTGTTTTGCCTCTTGAGCCATCATCAGGGCCACCCCCAGTTGCTGGCTGCAGTCCTTGTTTCTGTGCTTTTTCTGAAATGGAAGAAGATTATAGCCAATGATAAACACTGACTTAAAGTCACTAATAAATATTAGAGAAGTGACCCCAGCATACTGCTACCTATCTGACATTATCTTCAACTGTAACATTTATTTCCAGTTCCTAGTATTGATATGATACTCCTATTCTTAATCTTTTCAGATCAGACATAATCTCCCCCATTTCCATCTAATAAACCTCTCACCAATTTCTAGCATGCACGCATGCTCTCTCTCTCTCTATATATATATATATCTCACCAATTCATAGCGTGCGCTCGCTCTCGTGCTCATTCTCTCTCTCTCAATATATATATACATATATATATACACATATACATATGTATATGTATATGTGTATATACAAATTTTAACAGTTTCAGCTCACTGCAACCTCCACCTCCCTGGTTCAAGCATTTCTTGTGTCTCAGCCTCCCACTGGGACTACAGGCATACACCACCATGGCCAGCAAATTTTTTGTATTTTAGTAGAGAGAGGGTTTTACTATGTTGCCCAGGGTGGTCTTGAACTACTGAGCTCAGGCGATCTGCCCACCTCAGCCTCCCAAAGTGCTGGAATTACAGGTCTGAGGCACAACACCTGGCCCTAGCAATATTTTCAACCAATATTTTGATGTCATCTCTGAAGTGAATCCCATAGAAATTTGAAAAGAGGATTATAGGAACTCAGGTGATTTCACTTTGAAGTTTCTGACAAGTTTCTTTAGATCCAGCTGTTTGATTTAATACAGCTTGATTTTCCAAGGCCTCTGAACTACTGGGGCTCTGCTCATTTGCAAGGCTGGTCAAACCCTAAGTGACTACAGGGAGGAAACAGGATTTTGGTAATCCAATGGTTCTCAACTGGGTAGACTGTGCCCCTAAGAAGGCACCTGGCAATTACTGAAGGTAATTTTTTGGTTGTTACAACCGGGGCAGGGGGCAGAGGGTAGAGGTGGGGGCTGCTGCTGGTTAGATGCCTCTAGAGCCTAGGGATGCTGCTAAATATCCCATGATGCACAGGACAGCCCTCCACAACCAAAAATTATCTCGCCTGAAACACCAATAGTGCTGAGACTGAAAAATCCTGAGTTAATCTGTGCCCGTATTTCTGCCACACCTATTTTGGCTAAACTGCAGAAAAACCTCATCTTCAGAATGGCCCCCAGTCTGCAGGCAGGGAAGGGGACTGAAAAAAATCATTGCCCTGCTGCAATCCTAGGAGCAAGAAGAGTCCTTCATGAATTATCTCACCCTTGGCACACCTGGTCAGACACGGAACTTTCTCCCAACATGGCTTAACCTGGTAGAAAATCAGATTTAATAAAAGGAAGATTTCATTTTCCAGTTCTCTGTATCACAACAGAACCCCAAGATGTGCTCACCATGCCTGATGGCTCCAGGGACAGCTCCTGGAAGTTCTTCAGCATGTTGACTGGGATCCATGCACGAGAAACTGTTTCTCCAAAAAATGTCACATGGTACTTAGACTGAAATAAAAGATGGTACTGTTATGGCCTCCTGTCCTGCTCTCTGCTTTTCTCCTCTAGCCAGAACAGTCAGGGAGAATGGGAATTCACCCAGGAGGTGGTTCTGGGCCTCACATGCTCCCTTGAAGCCTGACTCATCTACCCCTACCCTCATTCCAATTGTTTTTCCATTCTAACCTCAGGAATCCTAGCCAAAGTATATTTGTCAAAACCACTAATCCCCTGACAGTGGATAAATATTTAATTAGACACAAGTTTGTTTCTACTGTATGTGTGAGTACTTATCTCTATGTTTGTCATCCTAGTAAAGTGTTTTCACTTGCGTCTGCTGACTATGTCCGTGTCTCTAATCTGTACATCTGTGAGGATGGATTTGTTCATTACTTTGGCCTGACCTCCTCTAACCCTGAACCAGGAAACTCACCGGCAGAGAATCAAGATGGGAAGTAAAAAGAAAATATTCCCCCAAGTCAGGATCAGATTCTATCATGCCTGGCCACCTGGAGAAGGTAGTTGGGTGTAGGGTACAGAAGAGAAGGGGTTAGATGAACAGAACACAACCTCATCAATGTACATGCACAGAAAAGAGCAGTATGTTTTTGTTTTTTTTCTGAGACAGGGTCTCAACCTGTTGCCCAGGTTGGAGTGCAGTGTTGCAACCATGCCTCACTGCAGCTTCGATATCCCAGGCTCCAGTGATCCTCCCACCTCAGCCTCCTGAATAGCTGGGACTACAGGAACGTGTACCACCACAGCCAGCTGTTTATTTCATTTTTTGCAGAGATGGGGTCCCACTATACAGCCAGGACTTATCTCAAACTCCTGGGCTCAACCAATCCTCCCACCTCAGCCTCCCAAAGTGCTGGGATTACAAGCTCGAGCCACTTCGCTCAGCCAGCAGTACACTTTGGAAAAAAAGAAAAAGAAAAAGAAAAAAGATCCAAAAAATAGATTCCCATCCCATCAGCCCCCTCTGGTGGTCACTACTCAATGACTCAGATGAGAAAGGACATCCACTGATGCACCCAGGAGCGCAGAATATACCTAGTGAAGGTATCTTATCCTCCTGAACCATCCCACAATCCTAAGAACAAAATCTTTGACTAGGACATCTCCAAAGAAGAAACTGTCCCACTTTTCCTTGCTATCTTTACTTTGTATTTCTCAATATCAATATTTTTATCTTTATTTATTTTTGAGATGGGAACTCATTCTGTCACCCAGGTTGGAGTGCAGTGGTACAATCTTGGCTCACTGCAACTTCTGCCTCCTGGGTTGAAGTGATTCTCCTGCTTCAGCATCCTAAGTAGCTGGGACTACAGGCATGTGCCATCATGCCTGGCTAATTTTTGCATTTTTAATAGAGACAACATTTCACCATGTTGGCCAGGCTGATCTCAAACTCCTAGGTTCAGGTGATCTGCCCACTTTGGCCTCCTAAAGTGCTGGGATTATAGGCATGAGCCACCATGCCCAGCCATTCTCAGTATTTTTAAATGCCTCAGATCCACCCTCTTCTTTCTACCAGTTGGGGTAGCACTATCAGACCCTTTTTACAGGGAACTATCACCTCCATGCCGAAACCTCCAGAAAACACTCTCTTTCAAAGCCTCTAGGCTTGGTACTTTACCTTTTCTCTCACCCCATGCTCTAAGGCCAGAACCATTTCAATTACAGATGTTTCTATTTCCTTCCCTTCCTGCTTGAATCTACCTCTCCCAAGTTTGTGAGGGATGCTCTATGTCATAGTGCCCTACCAGGGGTAACCGTATTGCTTGGCCCAAATGATGGATCCTGGGACGTAGGAGGCATAGGCCACATCACTCTCAAGCCCCGTCCAGGTCTCCTCAGGAATATCACAGCGATTATACTCCTTATCTGCTGAAAGACAGAAGGAATAATGGAACAGGAAGAGCCTCATTAGGAGAAAGAGCTGGATGAGGACAAGAAGGAAATTGATATATGCAGCAGGTGGGACCAAAAGGGCACCTGAGGGATCAGCACGGAGGAAGAATAAAGACCCATGGAGAAAATGCAGCTGGAACCAGTGGAAGTAGGAGTGCTGCCTCCTCATACTCTATAAAAAGAAATTCCATGCTCCTGCTCACACCCCTGTGTGTCTGACTATGCTCCCATCTATGGAGCACCATGAGATAATTTCTCTGAGACTGTGTTTTCTCATCTGTAAAATAATTAGGCTGGACTAGATCATCATCATCTCTTCCAACTAGTTTCAAACATCCTAGAATTCTAAGCATATCAGATCTCTCTCTGTTTTCCCCCATATATCCTATATCCCTCCCTATCCACCAACCCAATACCAATATTCTAATCAGGATTAACAGGGACAGACCAATGCTCATACATTTAGATTCCAGGCCCCTCCCAAGATCACTTTGCAGGGAGTCTTCCTCCAGACTTTTCTACCCAAATTCATATCCATATGACAGGCAGTTCCTTCCTCTCGCCCAAGCACTACAAGGACCCACTGAGTGTTAACTGTATTTATGTAGTATTTAATCTAAATGGTAAGTTCAGAGAAAGAAAAGGAGGAACAATAAAACCTGAACAAAAACATTTCCAGTCTTTTCTACCTGTGTTCTGGTCACAGGACCAATTATCTGGGAGAACTGAGGGGTCAACGTTCCCACACAGCCGCCTCCATTTCCCACAGTTTGGGAAGGAACACTGGACCCAGACCAGACATTGATCTGTGAGAAGGGAAAAATGAAATAAGAGACTTAAAAATATGCTCTTCTTTCTTTAATTCAACTAAAATCAGCATAACCCTCCAAACTCCCGGAATCACATATAGAGCGACATAAGAGATCAACCAGCCCGATCCCTGACTTATAAGTGGGAAACCAAAGCTCAAAAAGGTAACTGGCTTGCTGAGGATCAGCTAACATGGTGATAGAGCTGAACTTAGAACTCAAGTCTCATGTCTTGATATTTTTCCTGTACTAGGCTACTGTGTCTCCTCACCACAAGGCTGAAAACAATGTTTCTTGTATTGACAGTTCTTAAATCAGAAAGCTGCCTGGCATCTTTCCAGATAGTTAGTGCCTTGTTCTCTGCTGGCCTAACACTACTGAGTTCTTCTGAAGTGCTAACCAGCATCTCTTTTGTGCACAACATCCAGAGTTCTTATCCAAATCTCAACTGATTTACCTGTCACCAAATCACCAAGTTGCAACCTTTAGGACCAACAGTGTCTGAGTTCACTCTTCTCCAGAAGACACAGATTAAGCCTATCATTTCTCCATCTTCTATTAATTTTGGGCCCTGCTCAAAGGACAAGCCTTCCTTTTATCCATCACCTTCCAAACCTCCACCTCTCCTAAGCTGACTCATGTCCCTCAGCCTCTTCTCTCCCGCCAAAACTCTTCCATTGTGGTCTTGGAAACTCCACTGACTTGAGCGACAAAAGTCCACATATCCTCAACCAGTTCTCTGAACTTCTATCTCCTTTTTGAAGCCTGGAGACCCACTAACGACACTGCCCCACCCAAACCACCCCTACCTGCAGCCCTGTAAGTGGAGTCTGTTCCTCTCACACTCCCCATGTCTCTTGAGACTGAAAGCCGGGCCAGCGTTATCTTTATGCCCATTGCTACTACTCCCCAACACTTATAAAAACCCCTCCTCCCTTAAGGTCTATACCATGGGACTATACCTGCCTCTCATCTCCCTTGTAGAGATGCTGTCATCTGATTCAGTCTTCTCCTCTCCACCCTCTGCATGCCCCACCCAGTCATCTGCAGGAACTGCACACCCTCTGAGCCACTTATCCAAACATCCTCACTACAAAAATGCCCCATCCTTCCACCTCACTTGCTCAAAGACTCCTATAGCAACTTTCGTTTTATCTAGTTTTCCAACTGACTGTCCCTACCATCCTTTCCATCTGGAAGCAATTTCCATTCTTCACTCTGTTCCACCCAGGTTTGATTACTTGACACGTACTTGGATTCTCTTGTAGACACCTTCAGCTCCCTTTTCCACAGTCCCTCCTTGCACCCAGATAGCAAAACACCAACTGGTATGAACCCTCTCTCCACCTTTTCTGAGGCTACACTTAAGCAATTGAGTTGAGAGAGAAAAATCACATAACAGACACATAGGTATCACTATATATTCCCTATTTAACATTATCAACCAATATATTTATCTAGTAAGTTCACTCTCTCCCATGCCAAATTTTACCTTAAATACCTGATCATAAGGGATGTCCCCTAATCCCATCCTTCCAAAATCATCCCTCAGAAAAGAAGCTGACTTGCATATGGTTCCTTTCAAAATATCACATATAAGAGAGAACTTTTGCAACTACTTTTTTCTTTTTTGAGACACGGTCTCCCTCTGTTGCCCAAGCTGAAGTGCAGTGGCACAATCTTGAGTCATAGCAGCCTCCACTTTCCAGGTTCAAGTGACCCTCCCACTTCAGCCTCCCAAGTAGCTGGGACTACAGGCATGCACCACCACACCCAGCGAAGTTTTTGTATTTATTAATAGAGGTGGGGTTTCACCATGCTGCCAAGACTGGTTTTGAACTCCTGGGCTCAAGCAATCCACCCTCCTCAGCCTGCCAAAGTGCTGGGATCACAGGGGTGAGCCACCACACCTAGCCTCAATTACCTTATCTTGAAGAACAAAGTACTGGTTGGGAATAATGTGTTAGTCTTAAATGACAGTTGCCAATGATAATTTTGGATGTTTACAGAGGTGACCTAGCAAAACTAGAAAAAAAAGAGTAGGAAGAGAGGCCAGGAATCATAGAAATTAATATAGATCAATAATACAAATTATTAGCTGTTAAAGCAATGAGTATTCATAAGAAAATGAGTAGGAGAAAATCAATACAATGATATGGAACTGGAAATTTATGGCTTGGAATGATATTTTTGACAGGAGCACTGTACTTTTTAAAAAAAGTTTTAAGTAACCTAAAGGAAAAAATAATGTGCTCTGGAAACTGTGTTTGATGTCCAGATGTGGCTCTATTATAATGAAGACTGATGTCACAGACACACATTAAGAGGATTTCACTTGACCACTCATTCTCGAAACACTAGCTTCCTAGGTTCTGTGATGCCTCATTCTCCTGCCACCCTCCCCACCATTTTCTGGCAGCTTCCCCCAAGTCTCCTTTGCTGGGTTCTCCTTGTTCTTCAATCTCTAAATGTCAGGGGTACCAAAGCCCAGTCATGGGCCTTCTCTCCCCATAATACACTTTCTTCTGAGGCAAGCTCACCCATTCCCATGGCTTTGAAATCCATTTTCTTTTTTTGTTTTGTTTTTTGAGACGGAGTTTCGCTGTTGTTACCCAGAATGGAGTGCAATGGCACGATCTCGGCTCACCACAACCTCCGCCTTCTGGGTTCAAGCAATTCACCTGCCTCACCCTCCCGAGTAGCTGGGATTACAGGCACACACCACCATGCCAGATAATTTTTGTATTTTTAGTAGAGACGGGGTTTCACCCCATTGACCAGGATGGTCTCGATCTCTTGACCTTGTGATCCACCCGCCTCGGCCTCCCAAAGTGCTGGGATTACAGGCGTGAGCCACTGAGCCCGGCCTGAAATCCATTTTCATACCTGACAGCACACAGCTGTTTACTTACAGCCTCTGTTCTGGGCTCCAGATTCCTAAGCCATTTTGTTCTTGACATCTCATCTGGATGTCTCAAAAGGATCTCAAGCCTAAATGTACCCAAATCTTATCCCACAAATTTGTTCTTCCTCTACTCTTTCCCATTTTCTTTCACTTAACTGTTCAAGCCAGAAACCAATCATCCTCGACATATCCTCCCTACCTCCAGCCTTCCAATATACAATTCATTACCAACTTCTAACAATTTTACCTCCAAAACCATCCACTTTTCTCCTTCTCTACTTTCATCATCCTAATCCATTTTATCTTTTTTTAATATTTATTTTTTTTGAGATAGGGTCTTGCTCCACTACCCAGGCTGGAGTGAAGTGGTATGAACATAGCTCACTGAAACCTCAAACTCCTGGGCTCAAGTGATCTTCCTGCCTCTGCCTCCCAGAGTGCTTGGATTACAGGTGTAAACCACTGTGCTCAGCCATCATCCTAATTGAAGCCACCAAAATACCTAATCCTACTATTAACTTCTTAACTGGTCTATTCTTGTCTTCTCATACTCCATCTCCAATTAATCACCAAAGACTCCTTTTAAAACAATAATTTGAAGATGTCACTTCCCTGGTTAAAACCCACCAGTGACTTCCCACTGCACTTAGGACATGTTCACTCTGTACACGGTCTTTGACCTAGCCATTGCCTCCCTCTTTCCAGTCATCCCGAGCCACTTTCCCACCTTGCCTCCCTTTGTTCTCTGAACTCTGCAATCACACTGGCTTTCTTTCAGTATCTGGAACATGCCACACTTTACCCTACCTAAAACTTTTTCTTCACTTGGATAACTTCTATTCTGCCTTCAGGTTCCAGATGAAATACCATTTCCTTAGAAATGCACTCCCTGACTGGCCCAATCTTACTTCTTCTCATGATACTCTGCTCTTTTCCTTCCCTGTACTTCATGCAAATTGTATTCAAATACTCCTTCCTGCTGCAGGAGCACTCACCTCTCCTTGGTAACTATAAGAAATGAAAAGAATGGTTTATTTATAGCAGGAGGCTGATAAATCCACAATCACAATTCAACTTGCAAGCACCACCTAGAGGGTGAAGCCCCATCTGCCTGCCTAAGATCTAGTCCATGCAGTAATTTTTTTTTTCAATTTTTAAAAAATATAATTTCACTTTTTTTTCTTTTTTATAGAGATGGGGGTCTCACTATGTTACTCAGGCTAAACTTGGATCCTGGGCTCAAGCAAGCTTCCTACCTCAGCCTCCCAAAGTGCTAGGATTACAGGTGAGAACCACTGTGCCCAGCCCCTTGCAGTAATTCTAAGAGGTACAAGAAACAGAGCAACACAAATCTAATGACACCAATTTACTTGAGCTAACCAGAGATCAGGTCAGTAGGGTCTGTTCTCAACAAGCACATCTGAGTTTATACAGTCACAGAAAACCAAAAGAAAAACCTTTTAGTTTCCTTTTTGACTCTACCTAGAAAGTAACTTCCTTGGGGTAGACTGAACTGCAGACCACCCGGTTGTTCAGATTAGACTTATACCTCAGTGCCTTATGTTACCATGTTATTATAACAAGAGGAATGGTTTATTGACCTGAACTACCTTGTTTGATACCTGCATAAGCCTCATCATTTTTTTTTCTTGTATCAGTGAGGGTCTCACTGTGTTGCCCAAGCTGGCCTCAAACTCCTGGCCTCAAGTGATCCTCCTGCCTTGGTATTTTTGAATTTTTGAACAAACTAGTATATTCTATGATCTATTATATTTCTTGTCATAAAACTTCCCATTATCACCTTGGTTATTTCATGTATTTATTATCAAATACATTAACCCTATAAATTCTCTTAAGGAAGTGTTGTCAGTTTTGTTCCTCACTGTATTTTAGCCTCTGGTGCAACACTAGGCACAAAATATAAGGCACTAGTAACTGTTGTTAAAAGAATAAATGAATTCATATCTATCCTTACCATGCCTCCATCTAATCTTGAAGGCTAAGGATGATGAATAAATCCTCTGAATCTCTTTCCACTCCCATTTCTTCAATCTCGCCCTCTCTATAATTTTCCCTCAGCATGTAAGTATGCTCAAGTCTCTCTCTTTTAAAGTTATAAAATAAAAAGCCCTCCCTCAACTCTGCACCCATTCTTTTCTATCTACTATTTTCTCCCTCTTATTTAAACTAATTGAAAAAGTGTTTACTCTTCAACCAGCTATAAGCTGCCATTCATGTTTACCAACCCTTTCAGTAATAACCAAACCTGTAACAGCCTCCTCTGTGATATCCTTGAGCTTATGTTTATCCTCTTTGATTCTTTATGATGGCTGAGCATCCCTCTTTCTTTCCTTATTATAACAACAGGAATGGTTTATTGACCTGGACTACCTGGCATCTCTCCTCCCTTGGCATCTGTGATACCATTCCTGATTTTTCTATTACCTTTCTGATTATGTCTTCATTTTCTTCCTGGGAAACATCTAAAATGCTTTGTACATAGTAGGGACCCAACAACTATGGATTATGTGAATAAATGACTGAATGAATGAAATCATTCTTTTAGCAGCATATTTTCCAACAAGCAGCTGTGAGAGATAAATTATATTTGGGGCTGGGTGCAGTGGCTCACACCTGTGATCCCAGCACTTTGGGAGGCTGAGGCGGGTATATCACAAGGTCAGGAGATCGAGAACATCCTGGCCATGGTGACACACCATCTCTACTAAAATTAAAAAAAATTAGCCAGGCGTGGTGGCATGGGCATGTATTCCCAGCTACTCGGGAGGCTGAGGCAGAGGGATCACTTGAACCTGGGAGACGGAAGTTGCAGTGAGCCGAGATTGTGCCACTGCACTCCAGCCTGCTGACAGAGCAAGACTTCATCTAAAAAAAAAAATTCTATTCTTTGCAGAGTTTTCTCTAACATCCTAACCCTGCCTCTCTGCTCTATCTCAAGTTTTCAGGCCAAGTATGTTTTCCAAACCAGCTGAACTCACCGAAACCACTTCTCTCTCCTTTTTGCTGGTCCCTGATCTGGGAATGATCCTGAACTGTTTTCTTTAGTTGGTCTTTCTGTCTGAGCTCATGTTCACTTTGAGTTTTCTCCACCTTCTCATCTCCTGGGAAGAAAAATGAAAACATGGAGTGGGGAGTTGACGAAGGCAATCTTTGTGGATAGTAAACATCAGTGAAAGAAGGAAGAAGAATCATAGCCTAATTGTTTCAAGCCTTGGGCTGAAAATTCTCAGCCTGCCTATGGTCCCATTCCCTAATTTCCTGGAGCAAGTACTTGAGCCAGGCTTCAAAGCTGTACTTACCAGCTTCCTTCTTTCTTTTGCTTAAAGAGAGTCTACTGGATTTCTTCTCAGAGGGTGCAGGATCTGATTGGCCTAGCTTAGATGTCCTTATCTCAGGGACACCTTCACCTTCCCAAGACACTGAAATCTCTTGAGTATGTGGTACCTCCTCTCTGAAAATAAGATTTTATTTTAATGAAAGCTAAAAAGAAAGCAACTGCAGAATCCTTCTTTTGAAAAAACCCAAGAGTAAAAGACAGACAAATCCTAGGCTCTGAAAGGACCCTGGGGTAATTTCATAAATCTACTTGCCTATTTTTCCCAAATCGAACAGGTATCTTTCCTGAGCTAAGAGAAATCTATAGAAATATGATAAATGACCAGAAAGACAGACAAACAGATAGACAGACTGACTGACCATGATTTACCAATGTGTAGTCCATTCTGTGTTCACCTTGCCTCACTGAGATAAACTTACCCATCAGCATTGTCAGTATCAGTAGCAGAAGCAGTAATTCCTGGCTCCTTGTCTGACTGGGTAGATACTATGGGCTGGGCACAAGAAGTCTCTGCAAAATCAAGGCCAGATCCCATCCCTCCCAAAACAAAATACTATAAGCAGAGAAGCAATAAAACAACCATTCTATTATTCCCTAACATTTTCATCCAAGTGTCTTCTCCCTGCAGCATGAAAGAGCCTACCTTTGACCTCTTGTCATTTCATAGAACTTTAGCCATTTAAATGTTCAGGAAAAACTACAAAAAAAAAAAAAATATATATATATATATATATATATATATATATATATCTTTCTGCAAGACTTTCCAGATTGATATGCCTCATTCCAGGATGGCCAGGTAATAATTTTGCGTACATAAAAAAATTATAGACTGGGCATGGTGGCACGTGCCTGTAATCCCAGCACTTTGGAAGGCCAAGTGGGTGAAGTGCCAGAGCTCAGGAGTTTGAGAGCAGACTGGGCAATACGGTGAAACCCTATCTCTACTAAAATACAAAAAATTTGCCAGGCATGGCAGCATGCACCTGTAGTCCCAGCTACTCAAGAGGCTGAGGCCAGAGAATTTCTTGAACCCAGAAGGCGGAGGTTGCAGTGAGCCAAGATCACACCACTGCCCTCCAGCGTAGGGGACAGAACATGAATCCGTCTCAAAAAAAATAAGTAAACAAATGAAACAACAACAAAACCCCATAATGGCTTGAAAATTTAGTTAAGACTATATATAAATTCTGAAGTCAATGTAATCTACTTTTTCTAAAAATATGTACCCTTTATCTAAGGTGGTTTATAGTCCTGTTGATAGAAGATGAAGTATTTTTAAAATATGTTGAAGTCTCATCTAATATTACCTTACTTATAAGATGGGAGACAAAGAGAGAAGCTGTAAGGTTTAACTCTCCCTCTCAGGTAACAGTCACTCTGCCTAACTAAAACCCTTTCTCTCTTACTACATGCCATACCCAAGTGCTCCTGAAGGGACTTCTGCAGCACAATCTGGACAATCTCCTCAAATTCTGCATTGGTAAGACTTGACTTTTCCTGCAGAGACAAGGGTAGGGGAGGAAAACTACTTATCTGTCCATGGTTTTCCCCTCTGAACAGTCAGGGAAGCCTCCTTTATACGAGGCAGTAAGTCTGGAAGACTGAAAGCATGCAGTCAGCATACCTAAAGATGCCATGTACTCTATCCCAGATCTCCTGGGAATAAATGAGTCAAAGGAAAGAGAAAAGTGTGTAACATCTGTCCACTTCTGCTCCCATCTCTAACCCACCTCATCTCATTATTTCCTGCTAAATTCTTTCATCACAACATTTTTGACCTGAGGGGGGTGGGAAAAAATAGAAGCCCTCCAAAAGGAATACAAACCTGAAACTACAGGGTATATTTTCCCAGTATGAAAAGACTGTTCATCTAGCCTGAGCCAGGGGCAGGGATGAGGAAATGTCCTACCAGAGCCCACCAATGTGACTGATACCTTTTCTTTCTTCTCTGCTTGCTTGTTGTTTTGTGCCTTTCTTTTTTTTTCCTGGCCCCTGCTGGAAGCATTGTTTGTAGTTGCTTTTTCCTCCTTCTTTAACCTGGGCTTTGGCAGGCTTATCCTGGCCTCTGTCTCTGGGGAACTGATCCCCAGGGTCTCCTCTTTGGGTGAGTTAGGGCTAAAAGGTATCAGGTTGTAAGATTTTTGTGCAGGTGGGGCAAAGATTCTCTTTGGTCCCTTTCCACATTCTGAAAGAAATGTGATCAAGTGGAATTTGTGAAACATACAATCTAACAGAGATTGCCAAACATTACCCTTTGGCCATAACAGAATTATATGGAGAGAGCTTTTATCAAATTCAGATTCCTGGGTGTCTTGCTGCCTACTCCACTCCCCAGCCCTGAGATGCTGATGAGGTAGTTTGACATGAGAGGCCTAGCAATCTGGAATTTTACAAGGCCAGTTGATTCTGATATGCTTCCAGGTTTGGGAACTACTAAGTCAAAGGTGATAAATATAAACATGCAGGAAGCTGAATTATCCAAATGTGAAACTGTATAATTTGCTCATTTTTACTTTAGATAAAATGTTATGGAAAATTAAGAGCAATTTTTTAAAAACTAGTCAAAATCTATAAATTATTCACAGCTCTTATGACATCTCCTCAATAAAAATTATAATGATCCTCCCAGGTATATCTTTCTTCTGAGCTTCCTGAATACTCTGCACATAGCTGGTGGCATGTACCACATTCAACTTTATAATAGGTATTTAAATGCCTTTTCTCTCCCTATGAATTCTTTTTTTTTTTTTAAGTTAATGGTCTTTTTATTGGGAAATAAAATAAAATAAAGACCAGCATTTACAACTTGGAATGGACGTAAATTGTAATTTCTTTGAACAGCAATGGTGATGGTTGTGCTGAAGTCTACAGCCACAGCCTACTCTGCCGGCTCCAAGTCATGGTTCAGGAGGTTTTAAAAATAGAGAGTCCAAAGATGCTCCCTTGGTAAGGAAGTTTCTTATTAAAAATTTGTGTGAACAGTGACAGCGTGACACCTGTTTCACTCCGGAACAATGCAGCCAATCCCTATGAATTCTTATGTTCCTCTAGCAGGACTGTTTTTAAGTCGTATTTCTTTCATTCAAGGCATCCAGCAGAGCAGTAATTTCACCATAGTAGGCACAGAATACAATGGGACTGAACCATCCTTTGGTGGAAAGGATGTCGCAAAGGAGGAGAAAAATGAGAGAAATGTAGAAAGTGAACGTCCCTCACTCTTGACTCACCTTCTTTATTCTGCAATGTTGTCATCATTCAGCTTAGAAACTACACTTTGTGTGCCTCTGTTAGAAAAAAGACATTAACTGCTAAGACTCTAATTAAACAAGATTTTAAACTTCCTTCTCTCCATCTTGAGGTTAAAACCTCTTTGTTTTAGACCCATGAACTATGCTTCTGCATCCTTGACCTCCTCTGTGGTGCCAATTACATGCCTCTGTGGTACAAATTACATGCCAAGGAATAATGAGAGCTACTGTTTTAAAGATTAGCAACAATCAAGAGTGGGTATGGTAGCTCACACCTATAATCCTGGCACTTTGGGATGCTGTGGTAGGCAGATCACCTGAGCCCAGGAGTTTAAGACCAGCCTGGGCAACACAGCGATATCCCATTTCTACAAAAAATAAAACAAATTAGCCAGTGTGGTGGCACGCACCTGTAGTCCCAGCTACTCTGGAGGCTAAAGTGGGAGGATCACATGAGCCCCGGAGTCAGAGGCTGCAGTGAGCTAAAATCATGCCTCTACATCCCAGCCTGGGTGACAGAGTGAGACCCTGACTCAAAAATTAAAAATAGATAAACAAATAAACATTAGCAGCAATCCTTAGTATTTTATGTGCCTAGAACCATGTCCAACATAAGGCAGGGAGCAGAAATGGTAGTGGTATTACCAGAAGCATAGGTAGTAGTAGAGCAGTGATGGTAGGGTATGAATAATCCTGGCAGTTAAAGAGAGTTTTCTTCAGAGGGATAGCCGCATTTCTTAAGCCTCTCCTAACACTTAAAACACACATAATTTGGTAATTCTCTGACCTGACTCAGAGGTCTCTGTGCACAGAGAAGCCCCACTTTTAACATCATTATGATGTTTATTTTCCCTTTCTTAGATCCTCAGTCCAATCAATTTTCCGATGTACTGGATTCTACCAATCTCCAGTCATAGCTCAGAAATATTTGGTAACCAGCATAGGTCCCCAGAGAATTTAATATCTTCTTCCTTACTCTACCTTAGAATATAATAATGAAAAATTAAATTAGTGCCTTCTTTGATATTCATAGTTCATCTTCAGCAATCTACTCACAGATGTTCCACATGACATCAATATGTTTCTTGATTACTACTGACTGTAACTAACGGTAACCGCTAACACTTATTGAGCACTGACTATATTCTTTACTCTTTATGTGGCATTCCATTTAATTCTCACAACCGATCTATGATGTGGATAACATTTTACACTTGGGAGAAATTCAGGCTTAAAGAGAATTAAAGATATTAAGTCATTGATAAGTAGTAAAATCAGGGTTAGAACCGTCTGATTTCAAAGTTTGTGCGAACAACTGGCTACCAACATCGTAACAGTCTAATTCAGTACTTCACCACCATTTTGCTATCACAGCACACACAGAAAACATACATTAAAAGCGTATACTGAAGCACATAGAAAATGACACTTCCAGGTACTCTGGGGGTAAAAGAACCAGGCAGAAGAAATTAGTATCTACACAGCTCAAGCTATTTGTGACCCAATAGTATGCCAAGGCTCACCCTGGGGACATTCCAATATTTTTATTTTCTGATTTACACTTTCCCACTACTGATATTATTTCCACACAGCTTTTAAAAAAAATGTTTCTTTCCAACCTTTATTTTACATTCAAGGGATATATGTGCAGTTTTGTTACACAGGTAAATTGCATGTCATGGGATTTAAAGCAGAGATAATTTTGTCTCACAGGTAATGAGCATAGTACCCCATAGGTAGTTTTTCAGTCCTCACCGTCCACCCTCGAATAGGCCCCAGTGTCTATTGTTCTCTTCTTTGTGTCCATGTGTATGCAATGTTGAGCTTCCACTTATAAGTGAGAATATGCAGTATTTGGTTTTCTATTCCTACGTTAATTCACTTAGGAGGACAGCCTCCAGCTCCATCTATGTTGCTGCAAAAGACATGATCTTGTTCTTTAACACAGCTGCATAGTATTCTATGCCCAGCCAGCTTTCAGAAGAAAACTGTCTCGTATTTTATGTTAACCTTAGCTTCTTATAGCCCTTTTACCCAGTTTTCTTAGGCTTAAGTGATACACGCCATTCTTACTTTTATAACCATTATTAAAAGCATTATAGCTCTGGGAAGACCTTTAGGGATAATAAAGCCCCATCTCCCCTTTCTACAGATGGAAAAAAAATATGCTAAGAGAGGTTAAGTGGGCCGGGCGCAGTGGCTCACGCCTGTAATCCCAGCACTTTGGGAGGCTGAGGCAGGTGGGTCAGGAGTTCAAGACAAGACAGGCCAAAATGGTGAAACCCTGTCTCTACTAAAAAATACAAACATTGCTGGGCGAGGTGGCCAAGGTGGGCAGATCATGAGGTCCAGAGTTCGAGATCATCCTGGCCAACACAGTAAAACCCTGTCTCCACTAAAACACAAAAATTAGCTGGGCGTGGTGGCTCGCACCTATAGTGCGAGGCTGAGGCAGGAGAATTGCTTGAATCCGGGAGGCGGAGGTTGCAGTGAGCCAAGATTGCAACACTGCACTCCAGCCTGGCACCTGGTAACAAAGCAAGACTGTTTAAAAAAAAAAAAAAATTAGCTGGACATGGTGGCTCGTGCCTGTAATCTCAGCTACTTGCGAGGCTGAGGTAGGAGAATTGCTTGAACCTCGAGGCAGAGGCTGCAGTGAACTGAAATCGCGCCACTGTACTCCAGCATGGGCTACAGAGTGAGACTACATTTCAAAAAAAAGAAAAATAGGTTAAGTGGTTTGCCCAAAGACTCAGTGTTAATATATATTGTTAAGCTTAGATGAACCTAGGACTTTTGCCTCTCAATTCTACTAATAACATATCTATTCTACTCAGCGATCTTGTTTCTGGCTGTTGGTTTTGAGCAGTTTGAAAGCCCTGCAACCGAAACTCACTGTTCTAAATCTGTGATCTCCCACTATAAAGAGATCCGAAAGCAGCATAAAATGATCATTTAGTTCATATACACTTCCCTTTTAAGGATCAGAAAATTTTAAAACTTTAAATGGCCAAACTTCTTCAAAGTATAGAATTCCTCTCTCTAGACCATAAGATAAACTTAAAGGGTACTGAGGTTTTGACAGTACGGCCACAGCATAGTTAAATGTGAAATATTTTTAAATTACCCTTTAGCATTTTTCTCTTCCTTTTCTTACTTCCATAAATGTGAATAATTCAGATGTGCTGTTCTGAAGCAACTATGTTTCCTTTTTATTAAGGAGCACATTTTCTCACTATTTCCATTTTAACTCATCATCACCAATCCCCAAACATACTTGCTCCAGAAAAAAAGGCAAGTTGGAATTTTGGGGAGAAACACTCAAGCAAATTAATCTCCTTTATTATAATCCTAATTAGATGCTAAAGACTAGATAAAATTGGCCAGGCACAATGGCTCACAACTGTAATACCAGCACTTTGGGAGGTCAAAGCAGGTGAGATCAGGAGTTTGAGAGCAACCTGGCCAACATAGTGAAACCCCTACTAAAAATACTAAATCTCTACTAAAAATACAAAAAGTTAGCCAAGCATGGTGACAGGTGCCTGTAATCCCAGATACTTGGGAGGGTGAGCCAGGAGAATTGCTTGAACCCGGGAGGCGGAGGTAGCAGGGAGCAAAGATCACTCCATTGCAGTCTAGCGTGGGCAACAAGAACAAAACTCTGTCCAAAAAAAAAAAAAACCCTGGATAAAACTAAGCTGTAAAAGGAATATTAATTTGACCAAAAATGACAAATTTATCTTCTCCCAGACTTTAAAATTCCAAAAAAGATCACAAGAAGTCACTGTCTAAATTACAAGGGCTAAGTGAGAAAAGCAGAGTGAAAATTATTGTGTTTCAGATGACAATATTTAGTTTTTAAGAACATGTGTCTAGCATAATACACTTGTTAATAATATACTTTCTCTAGAAGAGAAAAAAACAGATCAAAATGCTTCTGGGGAGAACTGGGTAGATGAGGGTGAAAGGAAGCTTTTGGTGTACTCCCTCGTGTATCTTTGGCATTTTAGAACATACAAATGTTACACTTCAAAAAATATTTTAAATTCTTTTTTTTTTTTTTTAAGATGAGTCTTGCTCTGTTGCCAGGCTGGAGTACAGTGGCAAGATCTTGTTTCACTGAAACATTCACCTCCCGGGTTCAAGTGATTCCTCTGCCTCAGCCTCCCGAGTAGCTGGAATTACAGGCACGTGCCACCACGCCCAGCTAATTTTTGTATTTTTAGTAGGGACAGGTTTCACCATGTTGGTCAGGATGGTCTCAATCTCCTGACCTCATGATCCACACACCTTGGCCTCCTGAAATACTGGGATTATAGGCATGAGCCACTACACCCAGCCTAAATTTTTTAAATAAAAGAGAGTATTCTGACCAACATAAAAATGTAAACTTTTCCAGTATTTAAGTTCAAATCCTTATCTAAACTTGTAAAGATCTTCCTAGGCCAAAGTATGTTTCTGGAGCCCCAACCAACTAGATAGAATTGTGGTTTACTGTTGAGTTAATAAGATGTAATAAACCCATAAACAGTGATGTATAATATCACTGTTTATGTGTAATCTGTGATGTATAATATCACTTAATACCTATAATGTCACTTAATACGTATAATATGTGAATATGCCGAAGAACACTGCTTTTAAACAAAAGCTCTAACCTGATCAATAAAGAAGGGAAGGCCAGGAAATCACTTTCTGATAACTCAGGTTGCCCCTCCTGTTTCAGGTGAATTACCTTCCTTTACAGTAATACTGAAAGCTGGTTCAGAGAGAGAAAATGAAAAATATAGACAGTTCATAAATATATAAAATGCCACTAACTTTCTTCTGTACAACTACTAAATGACTAGGGGCTGCAGATCCAGGAATAACATTTGAGGTTTTAATCTCTTTTCTTACCTTAGATGAAGAGGGGCAGGTTGTGGGGTTAGGGGGGAAGGCTTTTTAAGAACATAAAAGAATCAGGATAGTTCCAGAAACCATATTCCCATCACTCAACATATCAAAGGAGGGTAAATGTGGGAAAAAGAACTTAGAAATAATAAAGGGAACCAAGGGAAAGTAAATGAGGATCTCAAAAAATAGTTTTATTTCACTTAGAACATTAAAAATCATCACATAAATTTTGAGATGAAACCACCTAACCTAGCAGTTCTAAGTGTGTCCCAAAATCCTAGGGGGCTCCCTCCCTTTTCCAACTACCTATATGTGTTAAGCTGGATTTTCTCATGTACTTTTACAAAAACAAGATATCCCAACAGATTGAATGCAGAAACAGATGAGAACACAGTTTTCTGTTAAGCCAGATATGGAAGAGGTTTGCAAAAATGTAAAACAATGCCATTCTTCATGCTAAATTTTCTTTTGTTTAGGAAAACGTATTTTTCCTAAAAACTTATTTAGGTTAACATATTTATTATTGTTATTTCTTTTTTTTTTTTTTTTTGAGACGGAGTTTTGCTCTTGTTACCCAGGCTGGAGTGCAATGGCGCGATCTCGGTTCACCGCAACCTCTGCCTCCTGGGTTCAGGCAATTCTCCTGCCTCAGCCTTCTGAGTAGCTGGGATTACAGGCATGTGTCACCATGCCCAGCTAATTTTTTGTATTTGTTAGTAGGGACAGGGTTTCACCATGTTGACCAGGATCGTCTCGATCTCTTGACCTTGTGATCCACCTGCCTCGGCCTACCAAAGTGCTGGGATTACAGGCGTGAGCCACCGCACCCGGCGTATATTATTGCTATTTCTAACCAAACTTCAAATTTTTCTCAATTTCAATTTCTAATACATTAATAGCTACAAACCACATAAAAGCTCCTTGGAGTCCTCCATAAATTTTAAGATACAACGGGTTCTCAGACCAAGAAGTTTGAGAACTGATCTAGTGAACTAATTTGTCAGTCTTGCCAATTTTTTTTTTCTTTTTTTCGAGACAGAATTTAGCTCTTATTGTACAGGCTGGAATGCAATGGCATGATCTTGGCTCACTGCAAAGTCCGCCTCTCAGATTCAAGTGATTCTCCTGCCTGAGCCTCCCGAGTAGCTGGGATTACAGGTGCCTGCCACCACACCTGCCTAATTTTTTTGTATTTTTAGTAAAGATGAGGTTTCACCATGTTGTCCAGGCTGGTCTTGAACTCCTGACCTCAGGTGATCCACTGGCCTCAGCCTCCCTGCCGGGATTACAGGCGTGAACCACCGTGCCCAGCCTTGCCAATTTTTTCCCCTTAATAAAAACTAATTATCTCCCCCCCCCACACCATTCAGAATGTGTTCCCAAATTTCCTCCTAATCATCCAATCAGTCCCTTCTTTATATTGTTCCTCAAATCCTTGGTCCAAAAGAAGAAAAGCAAACCCTTTGGATACCCAGACTCCCTGAGCCTCGACAAAGCGGTAAAGTGTATTTCAAATCCTTCTTAAGCCAGATTCTGACTTCTTTTTGCATTAATAACAGTATACAGTATGTTGACTCCTGCTTATTTTTATGCCTCAATTAACTAATAGCAGTTTCCTTCCTTTCTTCTTCCCTCTCCTTTTCTCCTTCCTCCCTCTTCCCTCCTTCCTGAATCTCTTTCTCTCTATCCTTTCCTCCCGCTCCTTCCTCCCTCATCCTCCCCTCCCTCCCCTTCCTTCCTTGTCCTTCTCTCCTCCTCCCTCCCTCCCTCCCTTCTTCCCTCCTTGCTCTCTCCCTTTGTCCCTCTATTTCTTCCTCCCCCTCCTTTCCTTCCTTTCTCCTTCCTCTCCCTCCTCCCTTCTTTTATCCCCCTCCTCCCTCCCCTTCTTCCCTCCCTCCCTTCTCCTTTCCTTCCTCCCTTATCCCTCCCTCTCTCCCCGTTACCTCCCTCCCTCCTCCCCCTCCTTTTCTCCCTCCCCCTTTTTCTCCTGCCTCTTCCCTCCCTCTCCTTTCTTCCCTCTCTCCTGTCTCCCTTTGTCCCTCTATCCCTTCCTTCCCTCCCTTCCTATTTCCTCCCGCTCCTTACTCCCATTCGTCCTTCTTTCCTCCCTCTCCATCCAGCCTTCCTCCTCCTCCCTTCCTTAATCCCCCTTCCCTCCCTTCCTCTCCTCCCCCCTCCCCTTTCTCCCTTCCTCCCCTTCCCTTCCTTTTCCTCTTTCTCCCTCCCTCCTCCCTCTCCCTTCTCTTTCTCTCCCCTCTCCTTCCTCCCCCTCCCTCCTTCCTTCCACTTCCCTCCCTTGCCTGCTTCCTCTGTATGTTTGTGCAGAAGCTCAACATGCCTGATAAACTTTTAACAATAAAGAAGAGGCAGGCGGATCACTTGAGGTCAGGAGTTGGAGACCAGCATGGCCAACATGGAGAAACCCAGTCTCCACTAAAAATACAAAACTTAGCCGGGAGTGGTGGGGGTGCCTGGGGGTACCCGCTACTCAGGAGGCGGAGGCCGCAGTGAGCCGGAATCCCGCCACTGCACTCCAGCCTGGGCGACAGAGCGAGACTCCGTCTCAAAAACTAAAAAATAAAATAAAATGAACCCCAATCCCGAATCCACTTTGCAATCCAAAGGGAAGAAGTTGTTCCCTTTTAGGGGCGCTTCCATTTTTCCTCTCTCCCCTCACCCCTCATTCTCTCTTAGGGACAGCGGTTCAGGTCAGAGGTGTCCCAGAGCCACTCGTCCTTGCCTCCCCCCAAAACAATGGCGTCCCCCTCTCTCTTCCCTGTCCCTTCCCTTCCTTCCTCCCACCATGAGGGAATCTCCTCTCCACTCCCACTCCCGCCGAGGCACCAGGATCCTCATTCTCACTCAGCTCGTCGGCGCCCGCCAGGAGACTAGGCTATTTTTGCCTGTGTCTTGGGGTGACAGACTCTGAGGGAAAAGGGCCAAGGGCTGGTTGTCGCCCTGAGAAAGTTTCTCCTCAGGCAACCGGTGCCAGGACTGGCCGCGCCTAGCACCTTCACCTGCAACCAGAAACGAGACGGCTACCTTCAGGAGCAAGGAGAACCTAAAGGCGAGAGGCAGAACCAGCTGCAGCAGCGACTCCGCAAACCCCTCACACCTCGACCCAGGTTTCCCGCCACCAAGAAAAGGCACGAGGACGCCTGCGCACCAGCACGCCACCCCCGCCCACAGCGACGTGCTCGCGGGGCCGAGGCGCATGCGCAGCTGGAAGCTGCGTCTGCGTCTCCGCAGCTGAGGTAATTCCGCCATCTTCCACCCGAACGTCTCGGGAAAACTACAAATCCCAGAATCCTCTTTGGCGTCACTTTTTTTTTTTTTTTTTTTTTTTTTTAGGCGGCGGCCGCAGCGCCTGATTGCTTCTGAAGCACATCTTCTTAACTTTTCAGTTTCAGACGTCCTTTCCCTCCCTCTTTCCGCTCCCTGATTTCTCCTCTTCCTGCTGGTCTCCTTCACGCCCTCACTTTAGGATTTTATTAGACTCTACTGGACCCCACTGTCACCCCTGCCACCCTCTCCTCAGACCAGCACTCCGCTGGCTGAGAGACCCGTCCGCGCATCTCCCCAGAAAAACGGCGTGGACTCGCTTCTTCCTCATTGGCGGAAGTTGGGGGTGCCCAGCGCAGACCGAACCCCCGTCCCCGCCCACACCCGTTGCTACTTCAGGCGGTGCGGCCCCGCAGCGGGCGTTCGGGGAGGCCCGCGGGCTGGTGGGCGCGTGCGCGTGCATTGGGAGTGGGCGGAGGCGTTGGGGTCTGGGCCGTGGGCGTGAAGGCGGAAAGGAAGGCGTGGTGTGGCGTTCCCCAGGTGGTTGCCATTGGGGGAAGGCGGAGGAGCCAGAGAACGACTCAGCCATTTCGGGGGAAGAGGAAGTTGGACCACATCGGCTGTTTTAGTGCTTTTGCTTTTGCTTTTTCCCCAATTCAGCAGAGAATATTTTCAAGGGGGGTGAGTTATAATGATCTATCGCGTTTTACTGAGCCCAGTTCCACTCCTACCCTCCTTCGGCTTTTTAGGGTCTGCTCTCCTCTTCCTCGCAAGCTCTTTTAAGAAGGTGGGCAGAGGGGGGGAGATGGTCTACCAATGGTCATGAATAATTCATGAACACCGCCCCTTCGGCGGGAAGCCCCGCCCCTCGGATCGCGCTGACGCACGCTGCGTTTACCGAACTTGAGGAAGCGACGTCACAGGCCCCACCCCTAAGACGGGGGGCGGGGCACCACCTCCAGCACGTGCTATCTCTACCCGCGCAAGCCCGAAAGGGTGTGCGCAGGCGCTGCCCACTAGGGGGAGGAAGGAGGCGGGGTGGGGAGGTTGTTGGGTTTAGAGCCGGGCGGAGACCGCTGAGACTCATTCCTCAGGAACAAGGGTCGGGTGTCAAGGAGACCTTTTCACACCAGCTCCTGTCCCCCGCCTACGGTGGGTGGGATCGCACGGCAGAGACAAAGGAGATCAGTAGGGCCGGACATAGCTGCGCAGGGAAGTAGGGTCTCAGTTTGGGGTGGTGGGCTTTTGCGGGGGCTGTGGGGGTGGTTATATTTAAACTCCCAGAGCCGTTAAGTTGGTTCGTACTCCGATGCGCGCGCAACCAAGGTGGTGGCAGAGTGCGCATGCGTGATTCCGGGGCCAGGGGAACGCGCGCTAGCGCTCGCGACCGGGTGGTAGTGGCGGAGGAGAAAGGGGTCGGCGCACGCGCGGTTGAGTCCTCGAGTTGTTCGGGTCTCGCGGGCATCTTGTTTTGGTCTCGCGGGCGAGTGGGGCGCGCTTCGGGGGAGGCGCTTGGGCGCGAGACTAGGCGAGAAGAGCAGAGCTGCGCGCGCACTCGGGAAAGGGGGAAGAGAGCGGGGTCCAGGCGGGGGGTATTAAGCCCCTTGATCCCCCTTGTTGCCCCGACTGGGACGGAATAAGGGGAGGAAATGATCGAGATGGCCGCGGAGAAGGAGCCGTTTTTGGTGCCGGCCCCGCCGCCGCCGCTCAAAGATGAGTCTGGCGGAGGGGGCGGCCCCACGGTGCCACCGCACCAAGAAGCCGCCTCCAGGGAGCTCCGCTGCGGGACGGAGCGTGGGCCGGGTCCTCGCGCGCCGTCTGCGGGGTCCCCGGCCTTTGGGGTCGGCAGGGAGAGCCCCGGGGCCGCGGCCAATCCCCGGGGCGGCCCCCAGGCGCAGTCGCACGGAGAGGCCCGCCTGTCGGATCCCTCGGGGCGAGCCGCTCCTCCGGACGTGGGGGAGGAGCGCCGGGGAGGGGGCGGGACAGAGCTGGGTCCCCCTGCCCCCCCTCGACCCCGCAATGGCTATCAGCCCCACCGGCCACCTGGGGGAGGCGGGGGCAAGAGGAGAAATAGCTGTAATGTAGGGGGAGGCGGAGGAGGTTTCAAACATCCGGCCTTCAAGAGGCGCAGGCGAGTGAATTCGGACTGTGACTCTGTGTTACCCTCCAACTTCCTCCTGGGGGGCAATATCTTTGATCCCCTGAACCTGAATAGTCTCCTGGATGAGGAAGTGAGCCGCGCCCTCAACGCGGAGACCCCTAAGTCATCCCCCCTTCCGGCCAAAGGGCGAGATCCAGTGGAGATCCTCATCCCCAAAGATATTACTGACCCGCTCAGCCTCAATACTTGCACTGATGAGGGCCATGTAGTTCTTGCTTCGCCACTCAAGACTGGTCGGAAGCGGCATAGACACCGGGGACAGCACCACCAGCAGCAGCAGGCAGCCGGAGGGAGTGAGACCCACCCGGTGCCGCCCACAGCCCCTCTCACCCCCTCACTCCACGGGGAGGGCACCACACAGCACCCGCGGCACAGGGGCCAGAACCGGGATGCCCCCCAACCCTATGAACTCAACACAGCCATTAACTGCAGGGATGAAGTGGTGTCTCCCCTTCCATCTGCTCTGCAGGGTCCCTCAGGCTCCCTATCAGCCCCTCCAGCTGCCTCATTTACCTCTGCACCCCCGTCTTCCTCCTCCCGACATCGCAAACGTCGCAGGACTTCCAGCAAGTCGGAGGCAGGGGCTAGGGGTGGAGGCCAGGGTTCCAAGGAAAAGGGCCGAGGGAGTTGGGGAGGTCGCCACCACCAGCACCCACTGCCTGCAGCAGGCTTCAAAAAGCAACAGCGCAAGTTCCAGTATGGGAATTATTGCAAGTACTATGGGTATCGCAATCCTTCCTGTGAGGATGGGCGCCTTCGGGTGTTGAAGCCTGAGTGGTTTCGGGGCCGGGACGTCCTAGACCTCGGCTGCAATGTGGGCCATCTGACCCTGAGCATTGCCTGCAAGTGGGGCCCGTCCCGTATGGTGGGCCTAGATATAGATTCCCGCCTCATCCATTCTGCCCGCCAAAACATCCGACACTACCTGTCTGAGGAGCTGCGTCTCCCACGCCAGACTTTGGAAGGGGACCCAGGGGCAGAGGGTGAGGAAGGGACCACCACTGTCCGAAAGAGGAGCTGCTTCCCAGCCTCGCTGACTGCCAGCCGGGGCCCCATCGCTGCCCCCCAAGTGCCCTTGGATGGAGCGGACACATCAGTCTTCCCCAACAATGTTGTCTTCGTCACGGTAAGAGGGTCCAGAGGCTCTTGGAATAGGGGCCAAGTGTGAAGATGAGATTAACTGGGAATGTAGCAGGGAAGGTTATGACCCAGATCCTTTAAAAGGGGGGTCTGGGTTGGCAAGTGAGAGCCTCTGCTGGGCATCTCTTCCCTTTTATAACCCGGAAAGGTGATCTCTCTACCTTGGGGCCTTGACCCTGGAGTCCTTTCTCATGACCTCAAGGGTCTCCAAAATAGAGGAGGACTTTTTTTGCCCAGCTCCTGGCTTGGCCTATAATCCACACTGGTCCACCTTCCCTTTAAGGCTGCTGTTACTGCTCACTAGGGGATTCAATCCAGCTGGAACTTGGTCCTCAGATTTACTGAAGAAGCCTGAGAATGGGAGTCAGGCATGGAATGTCTTCTGGGGAGATTAGGGTAGCGGCAGACTAATACTGGCATTTCTGCCCATTGATAGAGACCTTGTTCTCATCAACAGCTTTTGTTTTCCTAGACAGTTTGTTGAAGAGTGTCAGGAACCCAAGTGGCTTGGCTGTAGATCCTCTCCACACTGACCCTAGATAGTAGGAGAGGGAAGAGCCAGAAACTACACAGAGAGGAGAGTCCCATGCCCACCACAGTGTCCCCTGACTGCACACAGCTCTCGGAAAACATCCCAGTTAGGCCGTCTGCTGGGATCTTTGGCATTGTGTTGGGTTAAGCCTGAAGAATGGTCTTTCTAGAGGGCTGTGATGAGCTTATCTTCTAGAAAAGGTTTCCTGAAGGATGTGGCTCTTCATATCTCTCAGAGGAAGCAAAGAATAGGCCTGAAACTTTGCCAACCCCAACTGCAGAGAAGGAACCACAGGTCTGCCTGTGGTTTGAAACCTGGGTTAGTTAGTTATCCTTGCAACTAATTGCAGTCATTCCACCTAAAGTCTGTGGGTGAGAATAAGCACGGGATAGGGTCCTGGGACCTCAGCTTTGGAAGACTTCATGGATAATTTGCACCATTTAAAATTACCCAGGCTCCCTCTAGACGTTTTTTGGCTTACACCAGTAGGAAGAAGCAGAGGCCAGGAAGGTGTAGAGGAGAAAACAAAACTCAAAGAGGGCCCCTTTTGGGAGTTAGTCTGAGAAGAATATGACCATGGGCTAAAGTGAGGCTACAGGACTGTGTGTCGGCCTCAGGGCAGGTTGCCTGGAAGCAGGGGTTCTTTGATTCCCTCTGTTGACCTCACTGCCGATTCCTGCCCCCAGGGTAATTACGTGCTGGATCGAGATGACCTGGTGGAAGCCCAAACACCTGAGTATGATGTGGTGCTCTGCCTTAGCCTAACCAAGTGGGTGCATCTGAACTGGGGAGATGAGGGCCTGAAGCGCATGTTTCGCCGGATCTACCGGCACTTACGGCCTGGGGGCATCCTGGTCCTAGAGCCCCAACCCTGGTCATCCTATGGCAAGAGAAAGACCCTTACGGTGAGTTGGATGTGGTGGAAATGGGGAATAATCCTTTGGTTGAGGCAAGAAAAGGCCTCAGGGAATAGAGAAGGAATTTCTGAACAAGGTGAAAAGGCCCTCCGGCTGGGCATCACTCTTGGCCATGGGAGGTGGCCAGCATGCTAAAGTGGTCCTTTGCTTCTCTCCTTAGGAAACAATCTACAAGAACTACTACCGAATCCAGCTGAAGCCAGAGCAGTTCAGTTCCTACCTGACATCCCCAGAAGTGGGCTTCTCCAGCTATGAGCTTGTAGCCACACCCCACAACACCTCTAAAGGTAAGGCTGGTTTATTTTGTTGGGAAGGCTTGTCCTGACTGATAGAGTTCAGATCCCATGGGGAGGTGCTGCCAACCCCTTCTGATCACTGTCTCTCCCCTCAGGCTTCCAGCGTCCTGTGTACCTGTTCCACAAGGCCCGATCCCCCAGCCACTAAGTGGCCCCTTGAACAGAAAGTGTGAAGAGGCTGCCTTCGCTGCTCATAAGGACCTGGGGGAAGAGGAAAGCGTCCCAAGGTCTTTCCTTTCTGACTCCAAAAATAGTTTTCTTCTTGGATCTGCAAAGAAAGCTTTTCTTCCGTCGCTGCCGCTGCCTCAGCCTCCTCCCTACGCCTCTGACACTTGTGCAGCAAGGCTGGCTGTGCTGGAGTCCCCATCTTCCTCTCCCACAGCCTGCCAGGCTGGATGGCATGGACTGTTTGCTGACCTCTGTTCTCCTAGGGCATGGGAGGTGGAAGGATATAAAATTCTCTAGCCCTTTCCTCCTATTCTCCCAAGGAGAGAGATTCCCATATCTCAGCCCTTTTCCCTAGCTGCATTTCAGTGGACCATGGATAGGTGGACTGAAGGTTAGAGGGGGAAGCCTGGTAGGGAGGCACGAAGGTACTGTGAAAATCTTTCCCTCTGCTGTCCCCCAGTGGGAGAGGGGGTTGGGTTTTGAATGTGAGAACAGCACAATAAACTTGATGTCTAGGGCAGTGGCCCCCACACTTGTGTTGGGTATTTTATAGCTGGTGGGGAAGACGTGGTGCTTCCTCTTCCGTCTCAAGGAAGACAATTTTTCAGTGGCTGGGTTGATTGTTGCATGCTAGCCAAGTCCACACAAAAGTACACAGAAGCCTAGAAAGGCAAAGTATGTAATGCAAATTTTGGTGTGTAACTTGGAGTCTGCCTTCTCTCCCCAAAAAAGCCCTGTGAGGGCCTTGGGCAGAAGGCTAACTCTGATTTTTGTTTTCCTGAGATGGAGTTTCACTTTGTTACCCAGGCTGGGGTGTGCGATCTCAGCTCACTGTAACCTGCGCCTTCCAGGTTCAAGCAGTTCTCCTGCCTCAGGCTCTGGAGTAGCTGGGATTACAGGCCACAAGCCCAGCTAATTTTTTGTATTTTTAGTAGAGTTGGGGTTTCACCATGATGGCTAGGTTGGTCTCAAACTCCTGACCTCAGGTGATCCGCCCACCTCAACTTCCCAAAGTGCTTACAGGCGGAAGCCACCTCGCCCGGCCAGAAGGCTAACTTGTCAATGGAGGTAGGAAAAAGTGCTTTGGATCAAATACTCATAGATAGACCAGACACCTTTTTGGTGCTGTGGAATCAGATTTATAGGCAATTAACATGAAGCTCTTCAGGGGCTTGTCAGGTGTCACTGGAACTTGGAACTTTACTCAGGTGCAACAGGATGGGCAAGGCCCTTAAAGGTGAAAAGGAGATAAGTTAGTAACTCAGTGCAAGCAGCGGGCTTGCAGGCTCCTGAGACAGGTTATCAGAGAACGCCTTCGTGAATTGTGATAGGCTAGGCCCTGCATTTCCACAGATCAGAATGAGTGGTACAGAGAACAATTGCCTGATATAAAACAGGCATTAGCTGTGGCTGAAGTCAGGGAGAGGTGGGTAAGGTTGTGAACTGAGGGGCATCTAAACCTCTAACGTGGACAGTTTTCTATTTGCCATGACTCCACCAAGTTCCTAAAAAGCCTCCAAACTCAACTTCAGGCAGCTTCCAACCTGAGGCTAAGTGGACAAACCCCCTAGAGAGATTTTAGGCCTCCAAGAAGAGTCCCATTTATTAGCAAAATTACTTTATTCTGACAAATAGTTTAACACAAAAATACGAACTAGCCCGCCAAGGATCGTCGGGGTCTATGCTTCCCATCGCCTCAGTGTCCGGTGCATGAGGAACGTGTCCTCTGAAGGGCGGGGCCGGAGTTGAAGCCGGAGAGGGGGCAGACCGTCCAGGGTCAGGTGTGGAGATTCATAAAATAGTGTTTCTGGGTCACACAAGATGGTCATGTCTGGCCCCGGCCCAGGTGGTTCCTGTTGGGAGGTGGGGCCCAAAGCAAGGTTACACTGGGAGAAAGGATCCGGGGAAGAGGGTACATGGAGGAAGCCCCACGCCCAGATCGCATCACCTTCGGGGGCGGGGCTCGAGCCTGCGGCGGCAGGAGAGCCAATTTCTCCCTGAGCGCGGCGTTCAGAACCTGTTCCTCCGGCACCTGCAGGCTCACCAGGTCTCGGAAGAGCCTCCTGGAGCGCGGCACGTTCAGCCCTGAGAGCGCAGCGGGGACAGAGGTGAGCGGTGCCCCCTCGCCCTGACTCCCGCGCGCGCGGCCTGCCGCCCGCCCCCCTCACCCTCAGACACGCTCTCCTCCAGGCCGCAGCGGATCTGGAACGACTTTCTCAGCTGTTCCTCCACGGCTTTCGCGGCATCAAAGTGACTCCCGGCTGCGGCTCTCAGCTCCAGACCCAAGGCCAGGCTGCTCTGCAGCGCGGGCATCTCCAGCTCCTGCGACGCCGCGGGCTGCGGCTCGGACCGCACCGGGGAAGGTGGTGCCAGGCGGAAACGGACCTGGGAGCAAAGGGCAGGGCGGTGACCAGGTGGGCGCGGGGCCATCGCGGGCCGTGGGCCAGCCTCCCTCGCTCACCTGCCGCCGCTGCCGACCAGCACCCCGCCGCTCCGCCCGCTCCTTCCGCCGCCCAGGTCTGTCATGCGGCGGCTTGGGGCTGTCAGGCTGCGGACTCAGGCTCAAGTCCAGGCCGGGCTCGGGCACTGGGGCTCGGGGTTCCGGGACTCGGGGCTCCGGGGGTGGCCCCGGGACCGCTGCGGCTTCTTCCCCGTCCACCGACTCCAACTCTGAGTCCCCACAGCCTATCATTGGAGATGCCTTGGGGATGCGGGGGGGGGGGTCTCAGGCGGTCCAAGTTTAGGGTGCACAGCCTCTGGCCACCTTCACCTCTCCCCCGCCCCTCCCAGACGCCGCTACCGGAAACCGTTAACCCTTACCTTCGGGGGCGGAGTCGGCAACCCCGCCCACCCTATTGGCGCTCCCAGACGTCATTCTCTTCTCCCCGCCCCCAGGTTCCTGGCGGGCTTCCGCACTCACAGCCTCGGCACCGCCCCCAAGCCGTTGTGTTTTTGAGCTGTGGCCGGTTGAAGCCCTACGGGACTTCATCAAGGCCACTCCTCCTGTTGAAAACTGCTATGGTTGACCTGCCCAGATGAATCTTAGTCCGGCTCGTGCTGCGATGCCCAGTGTGTCAGTCCTCATTCCTGGGGCGCCAAATGGGGCAGCTTTTTATTTTATTTTTTTTATTTTGAGACAGTCTCGTTCTGTTGCCCAAGCTGGAGTGTAGTGGCACAATCTCGGCTCACTGCAACCTTCGCCTCCCGGATTCAAGCGATTCTCCTGCCTCAGCCTCCTGAGTAGCTGGGATTACAGACGCGCATCACCACACCTGGCTAATTTTTGTATTTTTAGGTTTCACCATGTCGGTCAGGCTGGTCTCAAACTCCTGACCTCATGATCCGCCCACCTCGGTCTCCCAGAGTGCTGGGATTACAGGCGTGAGCCACTGCGCCCAGTTATAAATGGGGTAACTTAAACGTAATGGTCTAGTGTGCCCTGACCTCCCCACTCGGACCTCCACAGCATTTCCGGCGTTCAGTCACTCCGACCAGAGCTCCCCTGTATGAGTGAGGGTGGGGGTCGCCCACCCCACCCTGGGCTCCCTCCTGGGACACACCCACTCTTTCAGCTTTTTGTAACTACTTTTCACTTGGAGAGTTTCCTGAAATACTAATTTGTATAAAAAATAGATATCTGGTCTGGGTGCTGTGGCGTATGCCTACAATTCCAACTCTGGCAGGCTGAGGCGGGAAGTTGGCTTGAAGCCAGGAGTTGGAGACCAGCCTGGGCAACATGGAGAGACCCTACCCCACAAAACTGAATCTTAACCAAAACATTTTTTTAATTTAGCTGGGTGTGGTGTAGTCCTGTAGTCCCAGCTCACCTGTAGTCCCAGCTACTGGGGAGGCTGAGGAGGAAGGATCACTTGAGCCCAGGAGTTCCAGGCTGCAGTGAGCTCTGATGGTACCACAGTGCTCTAGCCTGGGCAACAGAGCCAGACTCTGTCTCAAAAACAAACAAACAAAAACCTCTGAATTGTGGGTTCAGTGCTTTTTGTTTGTTTGTTTGAGACACAGTCTGTTGTCCAGGCTGGAGTGCAGTGGCGCAATCTCAAGCTACTACAACCTCTGCCTTCCATGTTCAAGCAGTTCTCCCACCCTAGCCTCCCAAGTGGCTGGGATTACAGGCGTCTGCCACCATGCCTGGCTAATTTTTTTGTATTTACAGTAGAGACAGTTTTACCATGTTGGCCAGGTTGGTCTCGAACTCCTGACCTCAAGTGTTCCACCTGCCTTGGCCTCCCAAAGTACTGTAATTACAGGCAGTAGCCACCATACCCCCCTTGCATTCAGTTTTTTTTTCAATGTCAGTGGATTTATCCTGGACCCTGAGCTTCTCTAGGTAGCAGAAGACCCCTGAACTGCAGAACAGAACGTGAGAGTTCCCACCTGCTCCCTATGTTACTTGGGGAAGGGCCCCTAAGTTCTGTGAGCCTCCATTTATTTTTGTGTAAAATGTAAGTGGATTCAGGAATCCTTTCTTCATTTTTTTTTTAAATTATCCAAACTGCTTCAAAAAAGTTCAGGAATCTTGAGGCTTTCCTGGAATTGACTGATGCTCAGTCAACAGGCATGTTTGTGTACCATTTTTCATTATGAGTTTCCACATTGTTCATTTTATCTTTCCAGGAAGGGCTGTGGAACGTCAGATGGAATGGATAGCATAGCCCGAATTTTACAAAAAGAGTTTTTTTAAAGGAAGATCTCAGTGGTGAAACACTAGAGGCTTTCCTGCTAAAGTCAAGAATAAAGTATGTCTACTATCTCTCCACTGTGCAGCTGGGAAAAGAAATAGTGAGGTACAAGTATAAATTTTTAAACTGGGAGTAAATTAAAATTTTTTAATGTTGACATAGGAGGGAGAGAATAGAATGAAGGACAAAGAGCCTAGATGCCTCTGAATATACTTTGTTTTGTATTTTTGACTTTGGAAATGTATATTTTATAGAATTGTATTTAAAAATTGAAAAATCAGGCTAGGTGCAGTGACTCACCCCTGTAATCTCAGCACTTTGAGGCCAAGGCAGGCTGATCACTTGAGGTCAGGAGTTCAAGACCAGCCTGGCCAATATGGTGAAACCCCATCTCTACAAAAAATACAAAAATTAGCCCAGCGTGGTGGTGCACACCTGTAATCCCAGCTACTCTGGAGGCTGAGGCACAGGAATCGATTGAACCTAGGAGGCGGATATTGCAGTGAGCTGAGATCCAGCCTGGGCGACAGAGCAAGACTACATCTCAAAAAAAATAATAAAATACAAATACAGAAAAATTAGCTGGGTGTGGTGACAGGCACCTATAGTCCCAGCTCCTTAGGAGGCTAAGGCAGGACAATCATTTGAACTCAGGAGGCAGAGGTTTCAGTAAGCCAAGATTGTGCCACTCCACTCCAGCCTGGGTGACAGAGCTAGACTCTTGTCTCAAAAACAAAAAGTCATGGTGTATTTTACCTTAAATTGAAAAGTATCAAGGCTGAGCCCAGTGGCTCACACATGTAATCCCAGCACTTTAGGAGGCCAAGGCAGACAGGTTGTCTGAGCTCAGGAGATCAAGAGCAGCCTGGGCAACATGGCAAAACCTCGTCTCTACTAAAAAGTACAAAAAACTGGCCGGGCACGGTAGCTCACGCCAGTAATCCCAGCACTTTGGGAGGCCAAGGAGGGTGGATCACAAGGTCAGGAATTTGATATGGTGAATCCTGACCAATATGGTGAAACCCCATCCCTACTAAAAATACAAAAATGAGCCAGGTGTGGTGGCATGCACCTGTAATCCCAGCTACTCAGGAAGCTGAGGCAGGAGAATCGCTTGAACCCAGGAGGCGGAGGTTGCAGTGAGCCAAGAAGTGGCTTCAGCCTGGGCGACAGAGTGAGACCCTGTCACAAGAAAAAAAAATGTTGGGATTGGGAACAGTGTTTGAGGGTACATGGATGAAACAAAATTAGCCAAATGTTGATGATTGCTGAAGGGGGATTTTATTACTGTATTTTCTCTACTCTTGCATATACTTGAACATTTCTATAACTAAATGTTTTTTGTTTTTTTAAAAAAGGAGGCTGGCTGTCGGGCGGCTGGTTAGCTCAGTTGATTAGCAAACCAACCGCCCGACAATAAAAAAAATAAAAAATAAAAAAGGAGGCTGGCGCAGCTTTGGCATGCAGGAAGTGTTGGAGCTGAAACTCGAAACTGTCCCCCAGGCCTTGGCTGTGCTGATAGATATCTAGGCCCTACAGGAATTCCTGTTCATGAACCCAGTAAACACAACCCCTCAGCCTTAAAATCTAGTCACTATCTCATCTAGGGCCCCAGCACAGATGAAAACAAGCCATTCCGTTTGCCCAGTTTACATTGCGGGTCTCTAAAGTGGAAAGTTCACCCATGATTTTAAGAAAACAGTACGAATGTCAGGATAGGTAGGTGGAAGTGATGGAGGTGAGAGGTCTTGGTCCTGCCCACATTCTTCCTAAGTTATTTTGGTTGGCCCAGGCCGGGAGGCCAGGAATTGCTTTTCCTCTTAAAAAAAAAAAGAAAAGAAACAAAAAAAAGGAGGGGACAAAAAATTAGCCGAACGTGGTTGCACACACCTGTAATCCCAGCTACTCGGGAAGTTGAGGTAGGTGAATCACTTGAACCTGGGAGGCAGAAGTTGCAGTGAGCCAAGATTGAGCCACTGTACTGCAGCCTGGGCCACAGAGTGAGACTGTCTCAAAAAAAGAAAAAAAAAAAGGTTGTGGGGAGGGCAGGGTACATGCCTGTAATTCCAGCACTTTTGGAGGCCAAGGCAGGCAGACCACTTGAGGGCAGGAGTTCGAGACCAACCTGAACAACACAGTGAAACCCTGTCTCTACTAAAACTACAAAAAACTAGCTGGGGCATGGTGGTGCATGCCTGTAATTCCAGCTACTCAGGAGGCTGAGGCATGAGAATCACTGGAACTTGAGAGGCAGAGGTTGCAGTGAGCCAAGATGGTGCCCCTGCACTCCAGCCTGGGCAACAGAGCAAGACTCTGTCTCAAAAAAAAAAGCAGGACTCATGCCTGTAATTCTAGCACTTTGGGAGGTGGAGGCAGGAGGATTCCTTTGAGGCCAGGAGTTCAAGACCAGCCTGCGCAACATAGTGAGACCCCGTCTCTACAAAACAATTAAAAATTAGCCAGGCATGGTGGTGCATGTTTGTAGTCCCAGGTACTGGGGAGATTGAGGTGGGAGAATCCCTTGAGCCCAGGACTTTGAGGCTGCAGTAAGTGATGAGCGTACCACTGCACTCCAGCCTGGGCGACAGAGCAACACCCCATCTCTTAAATATTATTTATTATATTATAGAAGACTTTTGATTGGGTTAGACCTTACCAGTTAGAGATGCTCCCTTTAGTCATCTGAGGCTGCTGAGCGAGGTTAACCCAGGCCTGGTTGCTAGTTTGAAGATAGCAAGTCTCAGTGCTGGAAGGGGCCATTCAAGTTCATCCCTGAGCTTCTGCTGAGCCAGCTGCTATGTGTGGGCTAGGTGGGACAGGGGATGGGTCAGCATCCAGGGTCCTTCAAAGAACCAGGTCCTTGAGAAGGGATAGGATGGCTCCAATGCAGCTGTCCACTGTACAGTGTGGCTGAGACTGCTACAGAGGACACATGAGAAGACCTACCAGGGTTGGGGATGGGAAAGGAGCAAGGACTCCATCCCAGAAGTCACCCCCAAATAGGGCCAAGAAAGATCAGAGAGACAGCAAACCTCTAATACCACCCTCTGCAAAACCCACCTAAGGTGACCCCTCACCTCCTGTCTCCTCACACTGGCCTGTGACTAAGGGCCAACCCAGAGACATTTTCACACTGGTCCCTGTCACTTGAGGCACACTGGAAGATAGGAACTGCCAACCCTCCAGACACACACATCCAGGCTCCTAGCCCCAGAGTACACGTTCTCATCCTGCTTCATCTTGGAGGCTGGCAGGGTGAAGCCCCTGCAGGTCAGGTAGGTCTGAGATGTATCAACCTGAACTCATGCCTCCAACCCACCTTCACTCTTTCATCCCAACCCAGAAGGAAGAGATCCAGGGAGGAGGGCACGTATCAGGCTACAGGCCAACATGCTGACTCTGAGCCTGGCCTCCCTAGCAGCAGGCTGAGGAACAGGAGGGTTGGGATGAGCCCCATTAGGTATGTGTGAAGTCTGTGGGACAGAATGATGCCAGCCGCTGGGATGCAGAAAAGTTGGAGGCAGGGGACAGAGTCATTCAGAAGAATTTGTCCATAATCCAGGCCCAGTGTAATGGCTCACGCCTGTAATCCCAGGACTTTGGGAAGCCAAAGCAGGTGGGTCACTTGAGGTCAGGAGTTCAAGACCAGCCTGGCCAACATGATGAAACTCCATCTCTACTAAAAATATAAAAATTAGCCAGATGTGATAGCACAGGCCTGTAATCGCAGCCACTTGGGAAGCTGAGGTGGAAGGATTGCTTGAACCCAGGAGGTGGAGGTTACAGTGAGCTGAGATAGTGCCACTGCACTCCAGCCTAGACATCAGAGCAAGACGCTGTCTCAAAAAAAAAAAGATTTTAGCTGCGAATTCTGGCGCATTCCTGTAATCACAGCTACTCAGGAGGCTGAGGCAGGAGAATCACTTGAACCCGGGAGGCAGAGGTTGCAATGAGCTACCAGCCTGGATGACAGAGTGAAACTGTGTCACAAATAAGAATTTGTCCAGAATCTGGGTGAGGCAGAGGAAAATGAAGAGGAAATTGAAAGAAACCAGAAAAGCAAAGAGAAACAAATTTGCAGGATGGGGTGGAGGATGGAGGGTTCAATGGAGCTGGGCACAGCAAGGAGAATATTGGGTTGAGACCTGAGCTTGCTGGGGAGATGTCCTTGATGTCCACACCGGGAAGAGAAGGTTGATTGATGCCAGTGGCTGGGGCCCCAAAGAGTCCAGGGACAGACTAGTCAAAGATAGCTGGAGGTAGAAAGAAAGGGGGTGGTGGCACGGAAGATGGGGCCATAACCCAGGAAAAGGGAGCCATGGAGAGGGGAAATGAATGCAAAAATTGCCAGCCTCACTCTGGAGGCAGGTCCCAACAGATCTCCTTAGAAGGGGACCTTGCCCAGGACCTTGGGGAAATGGATGGAAAGCAAGAAAGCAGCAGATGGTCTGGTAATGAAATTGGACACACAGGAGATGTTGGGGGGTCTTGAGGTGGAGAGTGATTTCATGGAAGCTTGTAGATTGGACAGGGGGATGCTGGTGTGAGGTTTTTCCACAGTCGGAGAGAGGCTGGTAGAAGAAAAGTTCCTTTATGAGGCCAGGTGCAGTGGATCACACATGTAATGTCAGCCCTTTGAGAGGCCCAGGCGGGGGGACCACTAGAGGACAGGTATTCGAGACCAGCCTGGGAAAGATGGTGAAACCCTGTCTCTACAATAAAAACACAAAAAAATTAGCCAAGTGTGGTGGTGGTTACCTGTAGTCCCAGCTACTCAGGGGGCTGAGGCTGGAGGATCACTTGAACCCAGGAATTCAAGACCAGCCTGAGGTGGTCAAGACCCCATCTCTAAAAAGATTTATAAAGTTAGCCAGGCATGGTGGTGTGTGCCTGTAGTTCTAGCTACTTCGGAGGCTGAGGCAGGAGGATGAGTCCAGGAATTTGAGGTTGCACTGAGCTGTGATTGTGCCCCTTCACTCTAGTCTGGATGACAGAGTGAGACCCTGTCTCTAAAAATAAATAAGCCAGGCGCAGTGCCTCATGCCTGTAATCTCAGCACCCCGAAGGCCAAGAAAGGAGGATCACTTGAGCCCAGGAGTTGCAGA